GTAGACTTCGATAATAGCATATATATACTGCATCATAGACTCAATTACCAAGAAAAAAACACAACTGATCAAGAAAACGGAAATTCACTACAAAACAGTGTAAATTAAGGTACTGTTTTGTGTAAATAAAGTGTAAATAAAGGTACTATTTTGCACCTATAATCACCTCTTGATTTCAGTTCAGGTCATGATCTTAGAGTCGTGAGGTTGAGCCTGGAGTTGGGTCCAGGCTCAGAGTGGAGTCTGCTTGTCCCTCTCCCTGGGCTCCTCACTGCACTGCTCTCTTTCTCAAATAAATACATAAATAAATAAATGGCTTCAGAATTCTACTCCTTCTATACCTCCATCTTAACCTATCCAGTTCCTTTTGATATTACTTAGTTAGGAAGGCATGTAATTCTAAGACCGTAAACAAGATTTCTTTTCTTTTTTTTTTTTAAGATTTTATTTATTTATATGGCAGACAGAGCTCACAAGCAGGCAGAGAGGCAGGCAGAGAGAGAGGAAGGGAAGCAGGCTCCCTGCCGAGCAGAGAGCCCAACGTGGGGCTCCATCCCAGGACCCTGAGATAATGACCTGAGCCGAAGGCAGAGGCTTTAACCCACTGAGCCACCCAGGTGCCCCTGTAAACAAGATTTCATTTACTTGATTGGAACAGAAAAATGGAAGAGAAGAAATATCAGAAATGTCATACAATATATAGAATGTAATATACCTTTACAAGAGGGATATGGGGCATGGAGCATATAATATTCTGCTTCTACATTTGATATTTCAAAATAACTCAGTTACCGTATTTCACTGATTCCAAAATGCACATTTTTTTCATATTTAACATCTCAAAAATCTGGATAACGTTTATGTTCATAGCCATTGGCTGTTTTTTTCCACATTTGTTATCTTTTCAATTGGGATGCATCTTATAATCAATGGCATCTTAGGTGAAATATGGTATTGTTCGTCCTGGAAATGCTATTCCATGACATAAAGATGTTAGAACAGACTAGAAACAGTTTAGATGCTGGAAGCTAATGAAACTATGTTCATAATCACAATCTAGGCTTTGAACAAAATTGTAGGTAAAGAAAAACTTGTTTCATTTGCATAATATGTAATGGTGAACAAACCAGACACAGCTACAGTTCCCATAAAACTCAGTGACTACAGCAACATTGTCCAACAGAAATATAATATGATCTTATGTAATTATAAATTTTTTAATAGTCACATTTAAAAAAGTAAAAAGAGGGGCATGTGGCTGGCTCAGTTGGCAAAGCATGATACTCTAGTTTGAGCCCCATGTTAAACGTAGAGATTACTTAAAAAAAGACAAGGCAAAGGGGGGAAAAGGTAAAAAGCAGTAGGTGAAATTAATGTTAAGAATATAGTTTTATTTATCCCAATATGCCCAAATATTATTTCAACAATTAGTACTTTTTAAATTGTTAATGAGATATTTTAGTTTATTTTTCTGACTAAGTCTTTGAAATAGGGTGTGTGTTTTATACTTTACAACATATCTCAATTCAGATTGGCCGTTATCTCAACTATCCCATTTAGCTATTTTACACAGCACATGTCTAGAGACAGAGATGAACGTGTTTTTTTGTTTTTAAATATTTATTTTAGAGAAAGAGAAAGAAAGCATGGGGCGGAGGGAAAAGCAGAGTGAGAGAGAGGGTGAGCACAAATTGGGGGAGGGACAGAGAAAGAGGGAGAGAATCCTCGAGCAGACTCCCCACTAAGCACGGTGTCCAATACCAGGCTTGATCCAGACCTTGAGATCATGACCCAAGCTGAAACCAATCCAAGCCAGATGCCCAATGGACTGAGCCATCTAGGTGCACCAAGATGAAATTATTTTTTAATCAATATATATTTTTTTGTAGCTACTTTTCTTTGGAGGGGAGATATTTTTATTTTTTGAAGAGGTAAAATATACCAAATTTCAAAAGCACCAGGATATTCAGTGAAGAATAAGCCTTCTTTATTCCTGTTCCCAGCAACCCTCCTCCTGTAGGCAACTGCTTTTAGTAATTCTGTTCATTTGCAAATATATCCATATATTTTTCTCCTTTGTTTTCCACACAAATAGTAGCACACTATATACCCCTGGGCACTTTCTGTTTTTGTTTTTACTTAATATACTTTGGAGATCTTTCCATAGCAATGTACACAGAGCTTCCTCATTCTCTTTAACAGCTGCATTAACAATACAGTATAGTTTATTTAACCTTTCAATGGTAAGTAAGGTATTTGTAATCTTTTGTTATTGTAAAGACTGCTCCTGGGGAGCCTGGGTGCCACGGTGGGTTGGAGGTCTACCTTTGGCTTTGGTCCTGGTCTCTGGGTCCTTGGGGTCCAGCCCTGCATGGGAAAGACTGCTTTTCCCTCTCCCTCTGCCTGCCACTCCTCCTGCTTGTTCTCTCCCCTCCTTTCTGTCAAGTAAACAGATAAAATCTTAAATAAAAAGACTGCTGCTTTGAATATTCGTGCACATAAGTCACTTCATACTCAAAGAACTGTATGTATTTGTAGGATAAATACCTAGAAATAGAACTGCTGGATGTAATTACAAGAATTGCTAAAACACACACTTCCTATACAGATAACATTTTATTCACCATTGTACCCCTAGAACCTAGAATAATATTTGGCACATTCTAGACATCCAATACTTATTTGTTGAATGAATTTATAAAGTAGGAATTGAGACTTGTTTTTTTCATTCTTTCAGCAGTTACTGATTTAATCTGAATGGTACTTTTTGGATCTGATGCTTGTATTATTACTTGGAGCATTTCTTTTTTAGGAAGTCTGACCACTCCTTCTCCCACTTGTTTTTCCTCCCTCTATCACATCTCTCCCCCATCTGACTTAGAGGCAAAACAAAGCTGGGGAAATTACACTAATATTTAGGGCAGTTTTATTTTTTTTTTTTAAGACTTTTGAGAGATATTTGAGAGATAGCGGGAAAGAGAGATATATAGAGCATATAAGAGGGGGGAGGACAGAGGGAGAAGGCCCAGCAGACTACCAGCTTAACTATGCTCAGCAAAGAGCCTTACAAGGTACGCAAGGCAGGGTTTCATTCCAGGACCCTGAGATCCTGACCTGAGTCAACGTCAGAGACTTAACCCACTGAGCCACACAGGCATTTAGGGCAGACTTTTTTTTTTTTAAGATTTTATTTATTTATTTGACAGAGAGAGATCACAAGTAGGCAGAGAGGCAGGCAAAGAGAGAGAGAGGGGTAAGCAGGCTCCCTGCTGAGCAGATAAGTAGGGCAGACTTCTTAAGACAAAAAGTATTAGGGCTATAGACAGTCATCACTTAATGGTAGAAGGATCAACTCACCAGAAATAGATGCTAAACTTACATGCATTTAATAAAGTAGCTTCAAACTATAAATGAGAATATTGATTACAGGGAGAAAAAAATGAAATCTATCATCATAGCAGATTCAACACTCTTAATTATTGATAGCCCATATATGTCATTGTGTCAGAACACTTCTCCAAATCGTTACTGAATGTTAATACAGTGTAAGGGTATAGGGTGCCAATATTTTCTAATGGGTGCTCAAAATACTTAAGTATGAAAGATCCAAGGAAGCACAAACGAAAATACCTGTAATAACACCCCTAGCAAATCTGAATGTAGTCGGAATGAAAAGAACATGGATGGTTTTTGTTTTTGTTTCAAAAGCAATTTACAAAACTTCCAGCTAGTAGCACTTGCTGAAGAAGTGAAGAGAGTGAGAGAGCCACATCTGAAACAGAAAAGGCAAGCAGGAGGGACATGTAAACATTTTAACATTCACTCAGAAAACACTGAATACTTCCTACATGCAAGAATTCCACTAATTACCATCCACTCCAGATCTTCAGAGTTCAAAGGGCCTCAGGAACAAATTATTTTTAAAAAGTAATTCAGATACATATTACTTAAAACTTTCAGACACATCAAGGTCACCACAGGACAAGAAAATGACCGCTAGAGAACTTGGGTTCAGGCAGCGAGGACAGCTATGAGCATTTGGCGGGGTCCTAGGGCAGCCAAGGAACTGCTCCTTCCTACAGGCGGGAGTGTGGTCAGCTATGCCGGGAAGGGGCCTGGGGGGAGCTTATGCGCAGGCGCGTGCCGCCTAAATCTACCCAGGAACGGAGTAAAGTTCTCTTTTCCGTCTCAGACATGGTGAGTGAGGGTGTTCTTTACTGTGACTGCGCGGGTGGCGTTTAGGTGGAGTAATACTGAGCACCTCAGTCGTTCTAATTGTTTAGCAAGCATTGGAGAACAGTTGGGTTAAGACACCGGCCGTGAAAGGGATTTTTTTAGGTTCAGAGAGAATGAAGTATTACTCAGCGTTTTTTGCAGACCTCGCGGGCGCACATACGGCTTCTAATTTTATCTAGGCTTTCTCCTAAGAGGCAGGCCTCAAGATTTAACGGCCCGATTTCTTAATTCCTCAAAAAAGCCGGGCCAGTCGGTGGTTCTTTTTTTCCTTTTTTCCTATATTTTATGGCTCAAAACCGATAAAGTCATCACTGATAGCGTTCTTTGAAGATGCAGTAAATTTCAAGTGGGATCTGATGGAAATTCACTAAATTTTTTCCGGTAATGGTCATGACCTACTTAGAAGGAGTTTTAGCTGTCTTGAAAACAGTAAGAAAGGCGGGGAACTAGAGCAGAATCCTCATTTCCTGAGGGCTTGTTGCAAATGAAGAAACTAAGACTAAAGATGGAGAAGATGAAAATAAAGGAACTTATTGATAAATTGATATCCTAGGATTAGTAAAATTTAATTAAAGAACTTAACTACGAATTACAGGGTACCTATATTTTATATATAAATATTTTACATTTTAATTTTAATGCTTCAGTTTTCTGCTGCATGTAAGAAGCTAAGTTCTGAATTGGCAAGATGGGGCTGTTTTGTGGTGTTTATTTTACTTTTAAGTGAAAGATAAGCAACAACAGATGAGGGTAATAATTTTTTGGGTCAATGATGAGCTGGCATGTATTCTGAATCCGAAGCTGATTATTACTACTTTAGCTCTAGAATTACTCTGAGACCTGAAAAATACCCGAATCTTCAGAAGAGCTTTAGTGCCTAATTTCTTTCTGGTCAGATACCTAGTTTTTATATAGAAAGTTCTGTGTGGCAGGATGGAATTAAAGTGAAGAGTTCGGATGTATATTGAATATATACACTGGGGTCAAGCATAAAAAAATGAACAGTTACAAAGTCACTGCTTTTTTGTTTTGAAAGGGCACACCGCAGAAGGATGTTATTATCAAGTCGGATGCACCTGACACGCTGTTGTTAGAGAAGCATGCGGATTATATCGCGTCCTATGGCTCCAAGAAAGATGATTATGTATGTATGATTCTGTGTTGAAAGTTCGTTTTATTTTGAAGAAATGACACTATTACGCATGAACAGTAAATGGGTCAGTATTTGTGGCCTGTGTTTCTTAAAAATGGAAACTCTTGCATGCGGAGGACTGAAGTTCTCTCCATGGGTGCAGTGAGTGTACCTTGGTATCAATTAACCATGGTTCTCAGAGGCTTTGACAGATAAAATAGATTCCCCATCTGCCTAGATGCTTAAGAGGTTTGAGGTAGAGAAGAGATTTGTATTTTTGTCCTTGAGGTATTACTTCCAAGGTCAGTGATGTGTTGGCATGTATTACCTGAATATATGGCTGATGTGTAATAACACTTAAGCTCTAGAATTACGCTGAGACCTTGAAAAAGTTTTACCTTAAGTTTCAAACCTTGAAGAATAGTTAACCCTCTTTGGGGCTAAGTAATGAAACTGAAAGTAAATTTTTCCCTGTAGTATCCAAACAACTGAATTAATTTACCATTTTGGGAAACATTGATGAATTGGTGACCTGTTAAATTCCCTAAGACTACTCACCAGACTGAAACTTTAACATGTATTGCATTGGTGACTAGCAAAAATTTATTTCTGATCTAGTCTCTGTACCAGTTTTTATGTCTCTGAGTAGCTACGGTTAGCTATTTAAACTTTTGCATGCCTTGGCTATTTTGGTTTCAAGTTGTTATATCATTTAGTAATAGGTAGTAGATAGGCTTTGTACATAGTCCATATATTAATAGAATTGATACTTGATTAATATGTAGGTACTCTGAAAGAAATACTCTGTCCCCAAACTTGAAAAAAGTTGGTATATTTTTTTTACTTACACATCTGGTTAGATCTTAAGAGAGATTAAAGTCCTATTTGTATTGTTAGTTGCAGGTGAATTTATCATATGCTTTGTAGATACTACTCCCTCCTAACCCCCAGTATTGATAGCCACAATTTTAAAATTAACACTGATATTAGTATGAATTGAATTAATAAGTATGGCTAGTTTTTACATGTTCTATCACTTTAATAACCCTGCATCAATTCAAACTGGCACATTAAAATAATTGTATTTTAGGAATACTGTATGTCTGAGTATTTGAGAATGAGTGGTATCTATTGGGGTCTGACTGTAATGGATCTCATGGGACAACTACATCGGATGAATAGAGAAGAAATTCTGACATTCATTAAGTCATGTCAACATGAGTGTGGTGGAATAAGTGCCAGTATTGGACATGACCCTCATCTTTTGTACACTCTGAGTGCTGTCCAGGTAAATACTAAAATTTAATAGTCTTGGTAGTGTATTCTCTTACCTGAGAATGGAGAAAGTGAACTGGGTTTTAGGAACATGACAGAATTGGTATCTGTCAAAAAAAAGTTTCCCTAATCTTTCCAAATGAAGCCTGTCTTTTACAAGGTCAGTGATGTGATGGCATGTATTAGCTGAATCCAAAGTTGTTGTAAATTGTAAAATTACACTGAGACCTTGAATGATAAAATGTTTATTTTCAGTATATGTAAATAACTTGAAAAATCACAAGGTAGAGTTAAGTGGTTTAATTTTGATAATAGTGAAGATCCACGATTACGACTTGAAAGTCTACTTCTGGGGGTGTCTGGGTGGCTCAGTAATTAAGTGTCTTCCTTTAGCTCAGGACTGAGCCCTGCTTTGGACTCACTGCTCAGTGGAAAGCCCACTTCTCCCTCTCCCACTCCCCCTGCTTGTGTTCCTCTCCCTGTCTCTAACTCTTGTCAAATAAATAAATACAATCTTCTAGAAAAATACTATAAAGTCTACTTCTGTATATGTAAGTTAGTATATTTAAAAGTTTGGAATATGAAGTTACAGTTTATATGGAGGAAATAAATTCTTTGTTACTGGTTTGGGTTTGTTGATAATGGCTGTGGCATAGTAGAAGATAGTCTGCACCATTGCAAAAAGGTCACAATGTGCATAGACAGAAGGATATGCTCGCTTGACAGTTTAAAAGGTAGTTGAGGAAGAACATTAGAACAAACGTAGCAGTGTTGAAGAAGTATTTACTTAATTTGTTTTGTTTTTATTACAGATTCTTACTCTCTATGATAGTATTAATGTTATTGATGTAAATAAAGTTGTGGAATATGTTCAGAGTCTACAGAAAGAAGATGGTTCTTTTGCTGGAGATATTTGGGGTAATGTCAGTCTCATTCATGCTACTAAAGTACCAATATTAAAATCTGTTTGGGTGTTTATTATAGTGATAAGATTTGTTGAAAGTTTTTAAGTACAATGAGTTGGAGGCTTTGCTAATAATTATAAGGAGATTTTTAAGTTTTTGATCTTTTCAGGTCCCACTAAGCAGCTGGTCTTACTGAAGTTAAATGGTCTGCTGGAAGTTCCAGCATGCACTGTGTTAGTTTATCAGCATACAAGAGAACTGGAACAGAGGGGGCCAGTCTAAAATTTGAGGTAGGTGAAATTTTTTCCCCCAGTATTTGGTGGCTTTGTAAAGTTTTTTTTTTTTTTTTTTTTAATAAACTATTTAATGAAGAGGGAGAGATATTCAAAAAACTTTACAAACTTACTGGATATTTGAGTGGAGGGAGGGAATAGTACTATCTTGATAAATGTAGATAATCTCTGCTTTAGGGCTGAATACAGTGTAGGCCTGAGAGACCAGCTGCTTCATGGGATGTGAAAATCTACTTTTATATAATAGGGTAAGTTTATTGTCACTGTTAGAAATTGAGTTGTCTTTTTGGTTCTGTGTTACCTTCTCTTTCTGGGTGCTCTAAGGAACTTAAGATGATTTTGCTGTATTTTTGGCAAATTTTCTAGTTCTTCGATTTCTTAGAAGTGATTTTACTTCAGATTCAGCTTTCGTCCTGCTAATTGAAAAGTAAATGTTAAGCTTGAATTCATGGAAATTTAAACATGGTAGTTGTACAGTTTTTCAATTAATTGGCATTATATATTAAGATCAGATACCTCTGGTAACAGTTTTCATTTAATTTCCTTTTTCTTTTAGGAGAAATTGATACAAGATTCTCTTTCTGTGCAGTGGCAACCTTGGCCCTATTGGTAAGTTTTGAATATTGTATTGGAATAATTAAGTTACCATGATTATTCTGGAATTCAGTAGGCTTATTTTTTCTGTTTGTAGGGGAAGCTAGATGCTATTAATGTGGAAAAGGCAATCGAATTTGTTTTATCGTGTATGAACTTTGATGGTGGATTTGGTTGCAGGCCAGGTTCTGAATCCCATGCTGGGCAGGTAATTTATTAATGCAGATTAAAATATGTAAGTTTTGAGGGGGTAAGTGAAAAATTGGGAAAATACATTAATAGCAGTTTCAGTGTCTGTTACATATGACTGAAGTTAATTTAAATGTAATATGGGATGTTACATAAGATTTGCTTAAATGCAGATAAAGAAATGCATTTTTATAGTAGATGTGTATATATTCCCTGTTGGTGGAAGCCCCTGACCCAGGCAACATAAGTAGGTTTATTATCACGAAAGACAATTTTTATTTTCCACTGCTTAACCGCCCCCCCCACAAAGCTTTGTTTATTTAATCTCTATACCCAGTGTGGGGCTCATACTCATAACCCCGGGATCAGGAGTTGCATGTTCTTCCAATTGAGACCGCTTTTATTTTCCATTAGTTTTTAACTAAGTAGATGGAAACATTCTTTTCCCTGCCTATCCTGAATATCTGTTTGCTTGTGCCAGAGAGGCAGTTGTATTTGTAAGTAGTGTTTGTACTATTGTGCATTGTATCTGTAAGTAGGTGTCCAATAAAATTTGCTTTTAGAGCCACCTGACTAGCTCTGTAGGTAGAGCACAAGATCTTCATCTTGGGGTTGTGAGTTTGAGTCCCATGTTGGGTATAGAGATTACTTAAAAATAAAATCTTTTTAAAAAAATTTTTGCTTTTAGCTATGAAGAAATGTTGACAATAGTATTTCATTGTAGAATTGGATCCTGGAATTAGTATGTTTGGATTTGTTCAGTTAGGTATGTGATATTTATGTGTTTGCAGTTCTGACTTGTTAATAGAAAGCAAGTTTTTAGACATAAATGACATTTTAATTAAGTAGTTTTTATTACTACACTACTGTTGAAAATTGTTATACACATGTACTTTATGTCTGTAATTTTAGATCTATTGTTGCACAGGATTTCTGGCTATTACTAGCCAGTTGCATCAAGTAAATTCTGATTTACTCGGTTGGTGGCTTTGTGAACGACAGTTGCCATCAGGTGGACTCAATGGAAGGCCAGAGAAGGTATTGATTCATAAGATACTGTGTTCTAATAGCTTTATAACTACTATAGCTTCTTGTAAATTGATAATGAGCTTTTACCCCTCCCCCCATTGCAATTTTTCAGTTGTACTTCCTAAAAAATGCTCTTGGCAAAAGTAAAACAGCTGGAGTGGAGATACTTAATAATTATGGTATCCATTTAAAAGACTTGAGGAAAAGATGTGTATGCTGCCTTCTGATGTTCTTTCTATGACAAAGCTGTCTTCTGGTCTTTCCAATCATGAAGTGGATTCTGGAGTTACCTGAAGGAAAACAAAAAAAAATAGCAAATATCCTAGCTTAGAAATACATTTATATTCAGACATACTATGTATTGTTAAAGTGGCTTTTTCCCTATCTTGAGGGTCTTATATTTTCCAGCCATTGAAATGAAGCTGTTTCTTGAAACTTTTAGTTATAGACCTATACCAGCGAAAATTAGTCCTGCATTAAAAGCTTTCTTTAGGGGCGCCTGGGTGGCTCAGTGGGGTAAGCCTCTGCCTTCACCTCAGGTCATGATCTGAGGGTCCTGGGATCAAGCCGCACGTCAGGCTCTCTGCTTGGCAGGTATCAAGCTGCATGTCAGGCTCTCTGCTTGGCAGGGAGCCTGCTTCCCCCTCTCCTTCTGCCTGCCTCTCTGCCTACTTATGATCTCTCTTTCTGTCAAATAAATAAATAAAATCTTTCCTTGGGGGAAAAAACATTCTTCATATTTGGGACCCAATGAGTAGTGTTAAATGAATACATGTATTTTGTACAGAAGTCTCTGTGTCTGCTTCGTGGGTGTGAAAGGACAATTAATTTACCAAATCAATGACTTTTAAAAATTACATTGCTAAATTTTTATTTAAAATCCTTACTAAAATTTTTAAGAAAAACCCAATTTTTGACATTTTGATTTGGAGAAAGGGGAATCAAATTTTCCTTTGCACATCCATAGTTCTCTTTCGCTTTCACATACTGTGTTCTAAATTGGGTCTGTAAGGGCTAGGTAGTAAATGTTTTCAGTTCTGTAAAATATATAGTCTTGTTGGCAAGTACATAACTACCCTAAAGAGTAGATGGTGCCATAAGAAACCAGTGGGGATAACTGTGTTTAAGTAAAATAACAGTGGTTACATTTGAATTGGATGTGATTTTCCTATCACAAGACTGTCTTTTGTTTTTCTGGATTTTTTTGTTTTTTGTTTTTGTTTTTTAGACTGTATTTTAAAAAACGGTTTACACATACATAAAAACTTGGGTTGTAGTCAAGTTAGACTTCAAGGGCTATAGATTGCTGGATCCTTGACAGAAAATAAGATAGGGCATGGTGGTGCTTTTGTCTGGGTCATTGTATTTTTATTTTAGATTTGCTTGTTCAATATTTATGAATAAGTTCGGTAGGAAAATACCCACAGGTGGTTTCTAGCTACTTACAGTCCAGTGAAAAACCTGCAACTTTCAACAGTTAGAAAATGGGTCAGGGTTGGGATTGCCAGGAATCTGCACTTACAGTGTAGGACAGTTTTTTATGTGCTTATGAATCACCCAGCGATTTTGTCGAAATGATTCTTCAGTCGAAGGTGAGATATTCTGCGTTCTTTAAACCCAAATGACCATTGTTTGAGGAGCCAGGCTTTAGGTTATTTTTAAGCAAATTACATACCTACCTGGACAGCACTTGCTGAAAATGCTCTGACTAGGGAAATAGAACATATATCACCATGGATTTCATGAGTGTTAACCACCAGCTTCTTGGATAAGGGACATTCATTGCAGATAAAATAAAGGTACAAGGATAGTTGTTACTGAGTGCCTAAACTCTGAAACATTTAGTGTGGGTATCTGTGGATTGAAATGTTTGGTCTTATCCCAGTGATTGTCTTTAAATCCAAGTAATTGTATTTATGAATTTTAGCATCTCTAACTGTATGCCAGTATATCCCTTAGTCTCCTCCGGCACCCTGTGTTTGGACTAGAGAATAAAATTGCGGCAATTGCTTGTGGTTTTTTCCCTCCTAGTTACCAGATGTATGTTATTCGTGGTGGGTGTTGGCTTCTCTAAAGATAATTGGAAGGCTTCATTGGATTGATAGAGAGAAACTTAGAAGTTTCATTTTAGCATGTCAAGATGAAGAAACAGGAGGATTTGCAGACCGACCAGGAGATATGGCAAGTATATTTCTGACATATTCATGTAATAGTTAATTGCTTTGAGTTACCTTTATGTCATTTCCAGACTTAAAAATGGATGATAATCAGCATTTTACTTTTTAAGCAGGATACTCTCTAGGTAACTTTTGAGAATATATGAAGGGAAAACAAGTTTGCAGAAATTTCTCATCACTTAATTGTCAAAAAAATTGTGTATGGTAAAAGGTCCTATGTTAAAGTTTGAAGTCATCATTTTTAGAAAACTAAGCATTTATTCAAGTAAAGAAAATACAATGGAATCCAATATAGCTTGTTCAGAAGTAGGGTTTTAGAAGTTTTCATTTTTGTAATACTCTATAAATTCTTATTTTTTAAATAGGTAGATCCTTTTCATACTTTATTTGGAATTGCTGGATTGTCACTTTTGGGAGAAGAACAGATAAAACCTGTTAGTCCTGTTTTTTGCATGCCTGAAGAAGTACTTCGGAGAGTGAATGTTCAGCCTGAACTAGTGAGCTAGATATTGATGGAGACATGAGACATTGCTTAGTATAGTTTTGCCATCTTAACATTCCTGTAAAGTGCTTAACAAACTTAAAAATGACTACTGTGTTACTATTTTGTATATGAATTGTATTAATTTTAATAAATTATATAATTATGCATAATGTAAAATAAAGATCTTTATCTTCAGCTTTAGATTTCCTTTTGCAATGCTATTTTTCTGAGTACAGTATTTTGTTTCTGCTTCATTGTATTTATTTGTATGTTTCCTTAACAGCAAACTCAGTTTTAAAGAACTATCAAGAAGTCTTTTGTTCTACTTGTTTTTCCCATGTGCTTCTTTCATGTTATATGATAATGGCTAATGTAAATTGATCTATATCAGTGAGAATGTTAATTGATTAAAAGTTGATAAACCCATCCATATATGAATTAAAAGATGCACCAGAATAAACGGCTGTTGAAATTTGGAACTGTTTCATAAGTTTATGGTTACTTTGGATTCATCACAGTGATTTAGGTAAATGGCACATTGCACCATTTTAGAATAGGACAGCATTCTGGACTACATCTTATTTTTTAAACATTTCTATGTCAGAATGCCAGCAACCTATCCAAGGAATTGTTGGCCCTTCAGGAAATAGAAGTTCATAGTTACCACAATATTTTTTGAAACTTCCAAAAGACTGGAATGAGCACAAGTATTCTGAGACTTTTACATTCTTGATGAAAATTATTTCAATGAACATTTTTCTTGAAATGGAAGTTGAAGTTTTCTCAAGCATGTTGGCAAATTCTAGTAGTTTCAAGAATGATGATCAGTGGGCTTTTGGCTTGCTCAGTTGGTACAGCATGCCATTCTTGATCTTGGGGTGGTCAGTTAAAGCCCCACAGTCGGGGTGGAGATTACTCAAAAATGAGTAGTGGTGGTTCACTTAGACATCATTCACCAATGTCAGTTGTAACATCTTGATGAGAAAATGCTTACATGAGATTCTTGAAATGTATACCATTATTTTGACAGTTTACTGAAGAGTTTAGGCTGAGTTGCCACTATTTTTCTGAAAGTTTTGGAATTGGATGGAACATAATCTTAAATGGTATCACTGGAAGTATTTGAAGGAATTTTGAGGATTCTTGCATGTGGGTGAACTGTGCTATTAAGACACCTGACTGAGGTAATTCAGCAACTGCATGAATTCAGCTTTTCTTAACTATCGAAGTATAGTTGGCAGTGTTCCATTGTACAACATAGTGATTCTGTAAGTCTGTTAAGTTATGGTCAATAATGTTTGAATATATTCCAATAGCAGTATCCAGAGTATTTTCTCAATCCTAGTTTCTTTGGGAAGTTGGTACTATTTCTATATTCAAGAAAATAGGCACAAAACTTAATTTCATGGAGGTAATTTGTTGCAAAGCTAGAGTTTGGGTTTATATAGTCTGTTCTTACTAATTTGTACCTACAGTATGAGAAACGGAGCTGTCCAAGAGAGATCTCATCCATTGACCTACTTCTTAGGTTATTGTGGATACAATAATATGTTTAATGGGTGAATATTATCTTGTGATAATGACAACATTCTTGTGGATATTTAAACTGCAGGAGGTTTTTGTGTTTCTCCACAAGAGCAATGTTAGGTGGGCTGAACACTGACATTTGTCTACACCATCATAGGCGTTTGGTGTCTAGTGATGGATAGTTTGTAACTTAAGCTAAGTGTATTTGGGGGTGTGGGAGATGTTCAAAAGCAAACACCTTTAGTAAAATACAGTGCTGTGAGACTAACGGGGGTACCAAATTTGATGGTCATTGATAGGCTTTGAAAAATTCTGTTCAGTTTATCCCTGCAGATTGAGGAGAGCTGTACTTCAGATTAAGCTCAAAGCCAAATCCCGTGGTGGGTGAAAGGACTGGGCACCCGTAGGAGTAGGGTTCCCAGGCATGGGTGGGGGAAAAGCTGGGGCTCGCTGCGCCTGCGCATGGGGGCTCTGTGCGTCTGCGCGCCGTGCTCAGGCTTTTTCCTGCGACGCTTCTCTAACTTCGGGTCAGTGAAGGGACGCTCAGCAATCTCAGACTTCTGCTTGGGAAGATTTGTGAGAATGCGGAGGCCTGAGGTCTCAACAGTCTCACCGTCGGCCCCTGCGGCTTCCCTCGCTTTGGGAGACCCTCGGTCTCAGGGTCCTTGCTATAATTTCGGACTCCAGGAGACTCCTCAGAGCGGGCCTTCAGCGCAGGCCTCTGCGTCCACCCCTTCTGGCACGTCTGCAGCCGCCGGCGACCGGAGCAGCAGCACAAGCCTCCCTCGCCACCCGCCTGGCGCCGGGCCAGCACTAGGCAAGGAGTATTTGGATGGATTCACGGGTAGCTAGAGCGCTGCAGCTCCGGGAGGTTTCCCAGCGCGGTGGCGGCTGTTACTTCAGAAGAGTTTCAGTTGTGATGTGGTTGAGAGGATGAGAATGGGGTGCTTTAGGAATTTGATGGGTCTGAGTGAGTGAAAGCCCGGACTCCTCAAGTGGGTGAATTTTTTTTTTCCTTTCCATTATAAAACATTTTTAAAAGTTATTATTTTTTAAAGATTTCATTTATTTGACAGATCACAAGTAGGCAGAGAGGCAGGCAGAGAGAGAGATAGAGAGAGAGGAGGAAACAGGCTCCCGGCTGAGCAGAGCCCAACACGGGGCTCAATCCCAGGACCCTGAGATCATGAACTGAGGCGAAGGCAGAGGCTTAACCCACTGAGCCACCCAGGAGCCACTAAAATTATTTTTATTAACATATAATGTATTATTTGCCCCAGGGGTACAGGTCTGTGAATTGTCAGGTTTACACATTTCAAAGCACTCACCATAGCGCATATCCTCCCTAAGGTCCATAACCCAGCCACCCTCTCCCTACCCCCTCTCCCCCCAGCAACCCTCAGTCTGTTTTGTGAGATTGTCTCTTACGGTTTGTCTCCCTCCCGATCCCATCTACAAATTGGTTTTATTACAAGGTGGGGATGGTAAATGGCTCAGTTCTGAGGAAGGCTGCAGTAAAACCTTATTTAATAACCGTCTGTCTCCCTCCCAAAAGTATATGACAAATGACAGAATTTGTGGAGTTTGGTGATAGGAGTGGTTCCTCTTGGCTTCTGAACTAGGATGAAATGAAAATAGATTCAATCCAGCATTTCATCTAATTCAGTTGAGTAATATGTTTAAGTATTTAACAGTATATGTCTTTCAATTCAAGTTCAACCCTTTTATTTTATATTTGGACAACTCCCCCTTTGTGGAAAAACTATCACTGTTTTTACACACCATTTTAGCACGATAATAAGGTAAATGCCAAATCCAGTGCTCACTTTTCAGTTCGCCTGTGTTTAATGTTCTTGACCAGTTTTCTCTTGAACTCTTAATTTGTTTTCCCTAATTCTACTCTTCCCTGTTTTTCTCCGTTCAGAGAACTGCTTTGCCTACTGTTATCAGTTCCCAAATTATGGTTTGTCCTTAGAGTTTTGGGGTTTTTTTCTAGGTCACTTCTTGGATGTGATTATCACTGCTGGGTTCTCCCCTATGCTCCAGATTCCTATTTCAGACTGTCTTCTGAAGTTTCTAGGGGGAGAGACCAATGCACACCTCAGACTCACTATATGATTAGTTGAATTCATCTCTCTACGATTCCTTCAGCTGTTTCTTAACTCTATCCCTGGATTGTCTAAATCTTAAACCTGTAAGACTTCAACAAATTTCTCGCATCATCCAGTTAATAAGTCCTATCTTTTATCTTTTAAATAATTCTTTCCTCTCTGTTTCTGTGCCGTTACAGGCTCTCATTATTTTATGTGTGAATTATTGCGTCAAACTCTAGCATTGGTGACTGGATAAATGGTAGTACTACTTCCTGAGAAAGTGGGTTTTGTAGGAGAATCAGTTTTTAGAAGGAAAATGAGTTCTGTATGGACATTGTAAATGTGAATAACCTTTAGGATATCCATATGATCACTCTGAGACAATTGAATTTATGGATCTTGGATTAAGAAGAGAAACTTAGGAGAGATTCAGATTTGAAAGTCACCAGTGTATTTGAGGCCAGAGGAGAGAAGATAAAGAAGACACAGCCAAATAGAGGTCAAGGAAATTGGAGAGCAACTCAGACAAGTGATAAGTTTCCAGAAGGAGCTTAAAATCTAAAAGTAACCTGAGGACAAGAAACATCCCTCTCTGTCTCTAGCTCCTGGTAACCACTCCCTTCCTTAGTTCCTGTGGTGGAGCACATGGGTTTTATATGCTTCTTTATGATGATATCCTTATACTGCGTCCATACCTTTGTAAATACTTTCTTTATCAAACTTCTCAAAGTATACTAGTTGAATGTGTCATCCAGTTTCTGCTGGTACCTGTGTAAAGGAGTCTGATTTTATCCCATGGTGGGTATGGAGAGAGTGAGGAATTGTGAGAAAGGAAATTTCTTTTTTGGAAAGATCCTTGGTGATTATGTGAAGAATGGATCAAAGAGGCGTAATACTAGAAGCAAGGCCTGAAGAAGATACAGGCTTAAAATGGGCCAATAGGAGTAGAGATGGGGAGAAATTTTAGTGGTATTAAATTTTTTTTTTTTTTACTAGACTTACTGATTGGGTGTTAAGATTGATGAAAGTGGGGGTGCCTGGGTGGCTCAGTGGTTTAAGCCTCTGCCTTCAGCTCAGGTCATGATCTCAGGGTCCTGGGATCGAGTCCCGCATTGGGCTCTCTGCTCAGCGGGGAGCCTGCTTCCCCCTCTCTGCCTGCTTCTCTGCCTACTTGTGATCTCTCTCTCTCTCTCTCTCTCTCTCTCTGTCAAATAAAAAAAAAAAATCTTAAAAAAAAAAGATTGTTGAAAGTGGAATTAAGAATGATTCCTTAGTTTATGACTTGAGTGACAAGGTGCAAGATGTTATAGTTGGCCACAACTGGTAATAAATAAGCTTTGAGGAAAAAATAGAGTATATTTTTGAACATTTAAAAGTCTGGAAAGATCTCTAAAAGTTTATATCCAAGAGGTAGTTAGATTTAGGGACCTAGAGCCGCACTGATAGAACTTTCTGTGATGACAGAAATATTTTATATCTGTGTTAATATGGTAGCCAACAGCCAAATGTGGCTTTTGAGCATTTAAAATGTGGCTAGTGAGGCAGAGTTTTTAATTTTAGTTATTTTTTATTTAAATAGTCACATGCAGTCAGTAGCTACTGTATTGAACAATGCATTTATAGACCTAAGAATGGGTCTTGCATTTTTAAAGGGCTGAAAAGTAAAAGAAAATATTTTGTGATGTGAAAATTATGAGAAATTCAGATTTTAGTGTCTGGAAGTAAAGTTTTATTGAAACATAGCCAGGCTCATTCATTTACTGTTGTCTATGGCTGCTTTCCCAATATAGTGTCTGAATTGAGTAATACTAGCAGGATGTATGGCACACAAAGCCTAAAATATTTACCATTTGGCCCTTTATTTTAAAAGTTTGCCAAAATGTGCTTTATAGTTTAAGAGAAGTTAGGGCTTTATATGAAGGTTGAAGGGTATAAATAACTAGAAATAGATATTACTAGAGACCAATATAATAGATGAGATGCCCAGAGAAGATGTGTAATGCTAATATGTGAGAGAAGGTAAAAAGGTATGGAACCTTGGGAAGCCAACAGTTAAGAGGCAGACAGAGGAAAAAGAATCTGGCAAAGTAACCTAAAAGCAAGTGGTAAAGGAGAAGCAGAGTTGTCATGGAAGTGAAGGGGAATAGGAGAAAAGAGCCCCAATATATAATTTTAAGAACTTTTATGTGCCAGGACATTAAGGTAGACTGCTTCATGTATATTCTTTCTGATTTTAAGGCAATTCTGTTAAGTAATATATCAGTAGGAAAGTGCCTGGACAGGGAAATGAATCCAAGTGAGTCTAAAACTCTTTTTATACTATTTGTATGGAAGGAAGGAGTGTCAATGAAGTTAAATCAAACGAGGAAAAGAGGTCTTGTAATTGCTATATACAGTAAACATAAATGATGTATTTGAAGATTTAGAAGGTAGTTTATGATTCTATCAAGAGTAGTCTCCATTTGAAGAAGCATATTAGTAAGCACTTTTCCTTATATTTTAGTACAAGATTATTTATCAATAGTACCATTAAATTTGTCATAATTTGCTGTATTTTTAGAAGTCATCAGATAAAGTTTTATAGAAAGTAAACATGATATAAATTATATTGATTAAAATATTGCATAATTCTGAAACTTTAAGAACTGATATTTAATTTTTCGAATTTAGGTTCACACTTCAGGAATAAAAGATCTAATGCAGAAAACACATTTGCATCAAATTTTAATTTTGGTACAAGCTCATCTTCTACACGAGATAGTAATTATCCTCAAATACTGAAAACTCCATTGTCTGCTGGAAATCCCCAGAGATCAGGTTATAAAAATTGGACACCACAAATGGGATATTCAGGTAAAATGAAAATGAGTGGAATGTTGATTGAGATGACTTTGAAACTTTTAAGACTTGTAAATTAGGGTGGTTAAGTTCATTTGAAGTTATTTGTAACTAATAGAGATGGCTGAAAGAAAAATATTTAGTTTACCCATATCCATAATTGAAGGTTAAGTTAATGCTACATGTTTCTGATATTATTTGTTAACAAGTGCAGGTCTGCATTATTTTAACTATTCTGACTTAAAAAAACAAAAAGAGAAAACTCTCCCTTTTATACATGATATTTACTGAAATCTAGAAGTTGATCCTGACAGTACTGTTGTACAGGATTTTTTTTAATACTTAAATTTCAGTTTTTATCTAAATCTAGTTTCTCTTGAAGGGAAAATGGATGAAATAGTTCTTCATGTGTAAGTATTCTCTAAGGTACATGCAGTGAAATTTCTTGGATACAGGATATATGAATGTATTCATTTACAAGATAATAACAAATTGTTTTTCTAAGTGCTTCTACCAGTGTACACTATTACTAGCAACATATGAGAGTTCTTGTTGGTCTGCATCCTCTCCAACAGTTGGTATCGTCAGACTTCTTAATATTTACCAGTCTAGCAGTTGTAAGATACTAACTGTAGTCTGAATTTGTATTTTCCTGGTTATTAATGAGGTTGATTACCTTTTGTGTACTTTTTGACCATATAGCTTTCATTTTTGTGTGTGTGAAATGACTGTTCATGTGTATTATCTATTTTTCTTTAGGTTTATTTTTCTGGGTTTGTAGAAATTCTTTATATATTCTGAATATATATTCAGAGTAAATATTTTTTTGACAAGTACATATATTGTGTATATCTTCTCTAGGTTTGTGACTTGTCTTCCTCCTTTTCTTATGATGTTTTTGGATGAACAGAAGTTCTTAATTTTGTACATTTTTAGTAAATGTTCTGTCTCCACTTTTAAAAAATCTTTTACAGTTGTTTTTTTTTTATGTCTATTAAGTTTCTTTCTTTCTCCCTTCCATCCTCCCCTTCCCTCCTTCCTTCCTATTTCTTTCCTCTTTCTTTCTTCCATAAATTACACCCATTGTGGGGCTTAAATTCATGACCCTGAGATTAAGAGTCACATGCTTTACCCACTGAGCCAACCAGGTACCCTATTAGGCCATTTCTTTCATTGTGTTGTTTACATCTGTATCACCAAAGACTTTTTTGTACTTATATTAAAAACTCCCAGTATGATTGTGGACTTGTCTGTTTCTCTAGTAGTTCTGTTAATCTTTTGTTTTGCATATTTTGAAGCTATTTTAGTAGGAGCCCAATAATTTAGCATTGGTATGTTGTAGTATGAAATGACTCTCTTCATCTTTTAATATACTTTTTGCTTTAAAGTTTATTTTGTCAGCTATTAACATAGAAATTCCTTTTCTTTAGGTTAGTGTTTATATGATACATATTTTTGAAATTTTTGACTTCCTAACTTCCAGCCTTTATACCTGGTATTTCCTATGCTTAGGAACACTCTTTTCCCCTTTCCATACAGTCAATTCTTATTTATTCCTCAAGTCTAAGCTTAAATGTTATACCTTTCAGAAAGCTTTCTGTAATCTTATAAGTCTAGGTTGAATCTCTCTGCTACCTGCTCCCATTTCACTTCACATTTTACTAATGATATTGGTATTTTAATTGTCTTTTTTCTCCACTGCACTGTAAAATCCATGAAGGCAGAGACTGTAGCAGTCTGGATCTAATTTGAAGATTGAACCATATAATGATTTAAACAAGGGTGATTTAATATAAAGAATTATTGAACTATGATAGAAGACTCACTGTAGGATAGAAGAAAACTCTGTAAAATACTCTAGAGCTGAGGGGAGGCCCAAGAGGTCATATTTGGAAGCAGGCTCTTTTCAGGACTCATCTCCAAATCTGGGGTATAGATCTCCTTGGAGAAAGTGAAGTTGAACCCACTAGATGGCTGCAGGTTTGCCATTTGCTCATTTTACAAGATAATAAATTGTTTTTCTAAGTGCTTCTACCAGTGTACACTGTTACTAGCAACATATAAGAGTTCTTGTTGGTCTGCATCCTCTCCAGTGGTTGGTATTGTCAGGCTTCTTAATATTTACCATCTACTGACCCCAGAGGAATTGTTGCTACATGGGGAATTTAATGTTGATCTCTGCTGTTGGTAGGTTAGGTACTCACAGTGTGGTTGACCAGGTCAGCCTTGGTAAGAGGAGGTTCATGATGTTGAGCCCATGCATATCCTTGCTACCATGGCTGCTTTGTTCATAGATTTACTAAAGATGCACTGGGTTGGCTGGGAAAAGAGGCTGGTTGATATCCATTGAGTGTATCATTTTGTCTACCTGATTATTAAGAGTTCCCTCTATAATAGTTGCCCTTTAGTGGGCATTCACATGAGACACAAATATTTTCAAAGTTTATGCCCATTCAAAGAGGTCCATCTGCATACTTTTCCCCCAGCTTTCCTTCTTATTACCTTCCAATCCCGTTTCTTCCAAGTCCCTGACTATCCAGGTAGACCATCACCAACTGCTTATGAATGAGTCTAAATCTGTACTTCTGTATAGTACCTTATTCCAGACTACCTTATTCCAGACATGGTAGATAACCAAAGGTACTGGTCAAAGTTCTGCTCAACAAAAGATCAAAGTGAATGAAACAGCTAAAAAAATTAGAATAAAATACTAATGCATATCAGATATCTCAGTGAAAGAGTTTTATAACAGAAAAGCAAAGGAAGAAATTATAAAGTAAAAAGATTATCTATACAAAAGCAGAAATCTTCAAGCTATCAGATCAAGATTGGTAGCAACTATAAATCATTTTCATTGATTTACAAAATTTTCATAAACAGATGAAAAACATATAGATTTAATAAAAACTGTAGAAAAAGACATGAACATCTCAAAAGAAAATACAGAAAATGAATGGATATGTTAAATCTGTTCAATTTTGACAGTAATTTTCAAAAATACAAATTTAAGTGTCAGTAAATTAAATTAGGACTATAGGGGAGGGGATGGAAAACTGGGAATAAATCAGAGAGGGAGACAAACCATGAGGAACTCTGGATTCTGGGAACCAAACAAGGTTACAGAAGGGAGAGGAGTTGGGGCATGGAGTAACTGGGTGATGGGTATTAAGGAGGGCACTTGTGATGAGCACTGGGTTTTATATGCAACTAATGAATCATTGAACATAATAATAAATAAATACAAGGAAAAATGAATTAGTAATAAGAATATAATACATTTCAGAAGTTAGTAATGGTAAAGACACAGTAAAATTGATTTTTCTCATATACTACTGATGGAATCAAAAATTGGGGGAAAAAAAAAGAATTGATACAGAGGCACTTGTCTGGCTTAGTTGGTTAAGCATGTCTCTTAATATTCAGTGTTGTGGGTTTGAGCCCCACGTTGGATGTGGAGATTATTTAAATAAAATTTTTTAAAAAATTGGTATAATTCTGAAAGAAATTTGGTAATACATATGCGATCCTTAACAAATGGTTTTCCTTTGTTCCAATAATTGACTTCTGAGAATCTACAATAACGAAATAATAGACCCGCAAAAAGCGTTAGGCACTAGAATGCTCATTATATTATTACTTACATCAGAGATAACAGTATAAGCATTCTTTTAGAAGTTTAAGAGAGATATCTTCTGAGTCTACTAAATTTCTATTGGAACTTGGTATTTATTTTCCAATTAAAAATAGGAAGGTCGTATTTTACTGCAGAATTTAAACTGCCTTAGATCTAATATAAACTCATATATCTAATATAAACTCAATCATAATGTATAAATCAGATGGCTTTCATAGCAAAGAGGGATTGGAGATCTAGACATAATATATTTTTAAATGAACTCTTAAATTGACTATTCACTAAGATTACATAATTATTTAATTTTGTAGGCATTATAATAGAAGAGTAGAAAAAAAATGAATCTAGGTCAGGGAAGTAGAAGAGAGAAGAAATGGGTTCTATTGAAAGATTGACAAGGGAATCAAAAATAAATTTGCTTTTTGACAATAAAATTTTAGGTATTTTTGTCTGACATTTTTTTCATCCATGAATAATGCCTCATATTTAAATAATTTCATATACTTTACCAAAAAACCCTTTTATATTATTGCATTTAATTCTTACAACAACTTTTGAAAAAGGTTGGTATTTCTACTTTCAAGATGAATAAATGGTAGCTTTATAAAGGTTTAACAATTTACCTGAATACTCATTGTTTGTAAGGCATAGATCTCAAAATCAGTAATAATATGTAAAGGTTAGGAGCACCAGATCTGGTGTCAGGCTGCCTGTGTACAAATTCTGACTTTAGTAGCTCCATCTGTGCTTCAGTGTCCTTGTAGGTAAATGGAGTAAATAATGATATCTATTTGATAGAATTGTGATAATTAAATGAGTTAATTCAAATAAAGAATTAGAACATTCTTAGCACTTTAATAAAGTATTATAATAAATATATAATACACATAATTATATATAATATATAATAAAGTATCCAACATTACACACACAGTTACATATAATTGGAATTTATAGTTACATAATATTTTATTCTTTTTTTTTTTTCAAGATTTTATTTATTTAATATGAGAGACAGAGGCAAAGGGAGAAACGGGTTCCCTGCAGAGCAGGGAGCCAGATGTAGGGCTCTGTCCCAGAACCCTGGAATCATGACCTGAGCTGAAGGCAGACGCTTAACCACTGAGCCACCCAAGTATCCCTATAATATTTTATACTTTATAAAATGCATTCATAAGCAAGATGGGATTGGGAGGGAGATAAACCATAAGTGACTCTTAATCTCACAAAACAAACTGAGGGTTGCTGGGGGGAGGGGGGTTGGAGGGGTGGGGTTATTATGGACATTGGGGAGGGTATGTGCTATGGTGAGTGCAGTGAAGTGTGTAAATCTGGCGATTCACAAACCTGTACCCCTGGGGAAAAAATATATGTTTATAAAAAATAAAATTAAAAAAAAATTAAATTAAAAAAATGCATTCATATATATAATCCCATTTGATCCTTTCATTACTAGTTCTTGAGTTAGGGCAGTTATTACATTTTGTGATTTTTGATTATTTATTATGAAATAATTTGCTCAAATTCATATAGCTTTTAGATCCTAGAGTAGGGTAAATAATCTAGGTTTTCTCATCCCAAATTCAGTTTTCCTTCATAACTCCATTCCAATAAAATGCAAAATAGGACAATGTATAAGTTACTTCTAATTTTGAAGTTAAGTTTTGGCAGAATACTTTGAGAATTAACATTGTTATTTGGTCTGGATATGAAAAGTTGTTTCCTGATGAGGAAAAAAGGGTTATTTCCTTGGATATTAAGAGCCATGTCCTGAACTTTATGCTTGAGATCTTATTAAAAAGAATGAGATCAATTGCGGAGGACCACGGGAAGGGAAGGAAACTGAATGGGAAGAAATCAGAGAGGGAGATAAACCACGAGAGACTCTGGACTCTGGGAAACAAACTGAGGGTTACAGAAGGGAGGGGGGTTGCGGGGATGGGTTAACAGGGTGATGGGTATTAAGGAGGGCACCTTGTTATGAGCACTGGGTGTTATATGTGACTAATGAATTGTTGAAAACTACGTTAGAAACAAATGATGTACTATATGTTGGCTAAGTAAACGTAATAAAAAAATAAGAATGAGAACATACTGTTATTAATGTTTAAACATTTTCTTTTAAAAAAAATTTAACAGCTCCATCGTCATCTGCAGTTTCAACAAACTCCCCATCAGTTGTTGCAGCTGTTGTAGAAGGTAGAGGACTTGCCAGAGGTGAAATAGGAATGGCAAGTATTGATTTAAAAAGCCCACAAATTATATTATCTCAGTTTGCAGACAACACAACATATGCAAAGGTAAGTATTTATACTCTTAGAAAATGTTTGACCTAGTGTGCACTATGTAGATTTTCAAGTCCCTGCTTTCCTAATTAGTTTACTTTTTCATGGAATAACAGTTATTCACAATTGCACTAATGTAGGCTACTCTGAATTAAAATTGTTTTACATCTGATTTTAATCTTTGAATGTATTTTGCCCTAAAAATAATGTGCTTTGCTGTTATATGAACGTTTCAAATTACTGTTAATTTCTAAAATTAACCTCTTCAAGTTAATAGTTCCTGCACTCATTCCAAAGATTATATATTAATAATGCTATTGCCAAAGGGTTGTTTCCACTGAATAGTATTTGAATTTTATTTTCCAGAGCTCAGGGAAATTGGTCTTATAGGCCAGTCATGATTTAGCCTCTTCTTCCCTTCACTTCCTATCACTTATCATTAATTTGGGCCACTGGCCTGTTGTCATGAAGATTTCTGTCACTTACCAGGTAGAAGTAATCTGCTTCTAATCTCTATATTCTAAAAAGTTATTTGACCCAATTTCTATGATTAAATATGTATATGCTATGTTATTTTTAGCATTTTATTGTTTTTTTTTCCTTTTCCTAATTCTTCTTTATGATTTCTCAGTACACTGGTTTCCTTTTCCTACCTAATAATTAATTTTTTAACATAGCTATCAAACTACATGATACTGTGTGTAACTTTATCTCTGGGTATTTCACATTTTTATGCAATTTAAAAAAAACATAGGAAAAGCTTTTTTAAAAACAAATGTTTGGCAGATTGACTAAGAATTTCTGTGTCTGGGGTGCTGGGTGGCTCAGTTTAAGCATCTGCCTTTGGCCTCAGGTCATGATCCCGGGACCCTGGGATTGAGACCCACATGGGCTCCTTGCTCCGTGGGCAGTCTGCTTCTCTTTCTCCTGCTCTTTTCCCTCAATCGTGTTCACTCTCTCTCTCTCTCTCGGATAAATAAATAAAATCTTAAAAAAAAAAAAAAAAGAATTTCTGTGTCTGGGATAGTTCCAAGAAATGCATCTGTATTGTGAAAAGAATAAGTTGTAAAATATGAGTTTCTCATCTGTGTTTCTATCTGTTCAACTTCTAAGCTTTATCGGTGTGGTCATATTGACTGAATCACCACAGTTACACTTTTGAATGTGTTTATGTTTTTTATGGAGATGGATAAAATACCAAATAGAAGAATTTATTTTAAAACATCTTATTTTAGAAATATATATCTGATAAGTTCAAATTAATTTTTGAGCTCAGAGCTGTTATAAATTATTGTGAGGTAAAATATAGCCTATGTTTATGATATTTTATTTATATGAGATATATATACAAGATATATTTATATATACATATAGAATATATGTTTAATATATCACTATTAGAAGTATATTTTAACTGACATATATAATTAGAACAGTTGTAATTTTGTGTATCTGTGAGTTAATTTTAAGTACTTATCTCTCAGAAAAATATGCCACTTGTTTGGTTTTGGAGAATCCTAAGCTTACGTTGAAGAAATTATTTATTCAAATGATTTTAGGTAATCACTAAACTCAAAATTTTATCGCCTTTGGAAATAATAATGTCAAATACTGCTTGTGTTGTGGGGAATTCAACTAAGTTGTTTACTCTGATCACAGAAAATTTCAAGGTAAGTGATTTTCATTCTCAATAGTAACATTCAAATCTTACCTTATTTAAAATCCATTCTATATTAGGTTTTTGGAGAACAATAATTTGAACAACTATATATTTACCCTAAAGTACTCACTAAACACAAGTCTGAAGCTAAAGAACAATTAGTACATAAAATAAAAATGACAGGGCTTCCACTTATTTGATTTGGCAAATCAAATCTACCTTAAACAAAAGGGAAACTGTTAGCACTAATAAGGGCTTCTCAGAGTGTACAGGAGGCAGACCCTTAGCAAAAACAGATTTCCTTAGGTATAGCTGTGTGGAAACTAGGTATTGTGCTACCAGACTAGTTGAAATTGAAATTTTTGTTCTAGGAGATAGCACTGTCAGCAAGTACTTTTTTTTTTTTTTTTTTTTTAGAGAATTTGATTTGTATTACAGAATTGTCTTAGCTTCCCCTGGTAGCATGTATTCTTTACAGTTAACCTACTATTCTAAGCCTCTGTATGTGGGACTGTGGCAGGTTAAGTGTTCTGGAACTTTATCTAATGAATGCTCTCTCTGCAAGTGAGAGCTTTTCAAACATGCAGTTTGCTTCTTTCCTCTAGCAAATGTTTTGGGCAATGGGGGCTGTAGTTCCAGACCAAGTAGGCAGCATGGCAGTTGGAATAACCACCTGAGGAGTGCAACTTATTTTCAGAATATATTATACTTTTTTATGTTGGTAGCCTTAACTTTAACACATTTGGTATCAATCTGAGATTTAGAATCCAATGAGTTCTTTTATTGTTCTTAATATATTCAGCATTTGCAATTATATAAGATTTCTTGTTGTGCTCTTAGAGATCCTGTGTAGTTCAGCTGTCTTTGACTTATTGCTAAAAATGACCTCTATTGTCAGTCTGTTGTTTCTATGATATAGGTCTCTTTATCTGTTACCTCTTTTATTCATTACTTCAAACTTCTTTTCATTACCTTTATTTATGTATACTGTTTCAACTTTTGTTATTTTGCTCTGCTTAAGCATTTTAAGTCTTGGGTTGTAACAGGAATTCAACTTAAAGTAGCTTAAGTTAAAAAAGAAAGAAAGAAAGAAAACAGAAAAAAAAAAAACAAAACCCAGAAATGTATTGGCTTATGTAACTGAGAAGCCAAATTGTTGGATAAATCTTACCTTACTTAGTCCCACCACCATCCACCTTTTTTTTTTTAATTGTAGGTTATTTCTGTGAGGCTTAAGATAATTATGATGGCTACAGATTGATATGATATCTTATCCAATTCAGAGAAAAAATGTATTCTTCCTTCCAGTTTCCATATATAAATTCCAGGGAAGGACCCTAATGGGCCCTGCTTTGTTCATATTCCTACATGTTAGACTAATCACTATTTCTCAGGGTAGAAGCACCATGATTGATTAATCCCTGGTCATTTGTTTTCTGTGGGACACAGCTCTGTAATCAACAGTTACGAAAATCACATGGAGTGTAAAACAGATGAGTCCTTCAAAGGCAAAAATAGCATATATTCATTACAGTTGAGATGTAGGGCAGTATGGCATAGTGCTTAAGAATAGAGGAGTCAGACTGCTTGTTTCAGATCTTGACTCTAAGTGATCTTGTGCATGTTAAGTTACTTAAGTTTTTTTCATTAGTAAAATAGGGACAATAATCTACTTCCTAGAGAATTGGTATTTTATATAATGTAATTAGTGAGATGACCTCATTGATTAAGGTTACATTTGGGCAAAGCCCTAAAGGAAGTAAGAGACAGAGCCATAGAAGTATTTGGGTTAAAAGTATTATAAGCAGAAGGGAAAAACTAATATTATTATCATTATTACCACACTTAAAATTTAAAAAAAACCTTCATTAAAAGAGAAGCACTATGAAATGGAAGGACTTTGTAGCCAGAGAAGTCTAAATTCAAGTCTCAACTCTGGCACGTATTAAATGTATGATGTTAGAAAAACTACTTGACTTTTTAGAATTTTACTTGTAAGAAAATTGTAGTTAAAATAAGACTTACATCATGGAATTATTGTGAGATAACTTAAACACTCTTGGTGCATAACAAATTCCCTACCTCCTCATGAGTTTTGTTTTTTTTTTTTTGCTGTCTTATAGCTCTTTCATAGTTCATTGTTACTATATTATTTTTCTTATGTATTATTTTTATTCAGAGTAGGTAAACCTTTTATTCTACAACTTCATGCTTTTTTCCCCTACTCTTTTAAAAAAGTTCCATTATCTCCTTTTCTTCTAAATAAATTTACCTCATGTATATAGCATCTTATAGATTTGCTAGCTGGAATTGATGTTTTCTTCCTCTGCAGCTAATACATTATAAAGTTCTGCTCTATCTCAATTATGATGGAATATGTAACACCAAATATAAAACCTGGGTGGTGGTGGAGCTGTAGAATAAAATTAGTAGAAGGCAGAGACTCTTGTGTTTAAATTTTATTATTGTACCTACCACATCCAATTAAATATCATGTGACTGTGGTCTAATAAGAGCTATAGACTGCCATAATTCACTTAGCAAAACAGATAATCATTCTCTTTTTCTTAAATCATTAAGCAAATATTCTATTTAACTCTGGAAAATAATAAATAATAAAAAAGAAACTTTATACGATATAAAGCCGCCTACACATGTACCTGCCTGCATGTGTTTAAGAAAGCAGTTTTGGGCAACTGCATGAAACTTAAAATTTATTTTGGAATTAAAACTTTTTTTCAGAATGTTAATTTTACTACTGTCCAAAGGAAATATTTCAATGAAACAAAAGGACTAGAGTACATTGAACAGTTATGCATAACAGAATTCAGCACTGTCCTAATGGAGGTTCAATCCAAGTAAGTTATCATTTAGGGAAAGTAATAAATCTATAGAGTGAGTTCCATGAGGACAAGGTCTTTTGTCTGTTTTGTTCTCTGCTGTATCCCTAGAAAAGTGCCTGGTTTATAATACACAGTCAGTAATTACTGAAATAGTAAAATAGTTAACTAAAATTTATATACAAGGCATATTTTGCTAACTTAATTTATATAGAATTTTTCCAAATTGGTCATAATCTATTGCTGTTGTGGTTGCTGCTCACTTTACTCAAGTAGCCACGGTAACCTAGAAATGTGAGGCACAGAGCTGTAGTCCTGTTATTTCATACATGTACTCCTAAGAGATTCAGCTAGGACAGGGAATGATATTTTCAAAAAGGATATATATATATATATATTTTTTAATTTTATTTATTTATTCGTCACAGAGAGAGAGAGAGAGCGAGTGCGGGAGAACACAAGCAGGCAGAGCGGCAGGCAGGGGCAGAGAGAGAAGCAGGCTTCCCACTGAGCAAGGAGCCCGATGCGGGACTCAATCCCAGGACCCTGGGATCATGACCTGAGCCGAAGGCAGCGGCTTAACCAACTGAGCCACCCAGGCGTCCCCAAAAAGGATATATTTTTTAAGATTTTATTTATTTATTTGACAGAGAGCGAGAGTGAGCATAAGCAGGGGCAGCATCGGGCAGATGGGGAGAGAGAAGCAGGCCCCTGGCTGAGCAGGGAGCCCTGCATTGGGCTCCATGCCAGGACCCTGAGATCATGACCTGAGCCAAAGGCAGATGCTTAACAGGCTGAGCCACCCAGGCACCCTAGAAAGGATATTTTTTAGAACATACTAAATAGATACTTTCCTTGAGTTAGGTTGTCCTAGTGACTAAGCTCACCACGATCCTAACATACTTTTCTATACATAGGAACCTCCTAACTTTGTCTGACCTTTTCAACATTATTTGAATTCTTAGAATGGTACATTGACACATACTACTACTAAATATTGTTTTCCAACATGTGATTTATTGGAGTCCTTAAGTGTCAGACTTCAGAAAATTGTCTGTTCTATGAACTTTTATGGTTTAGAGGTTATTTAGCAAATTTTCAAAAGTAAAGAGCACTGAGTGTGCTTTTTCCCTTTGAATTTAAGCAATGCTATGCAAATATTTATAATTTTCCTAATAATGAGGTGAAGTAAATGTTTTCTTTTATAGCAATACTTTTTATTTATTCTAAAGATTTATAGTGATGTTTCATTGGTCACCTTTCAGGTATTACTGCCTTGCAGCTGTTGCAGCTTTATTAAAATATGTTGAATTTATTCAAAATTCAGTTTATGCACCAAAATCACTGAAGATTTGTTTCCAGGGTAGTGAACAGACAGCCATGATAGATTCATCATCAGCCCAAAACCTTGAATTACTAATTAATAATCAAGACTGTAGGTAAGATCATCCAATTTTTTTCTTACAAAATGTATCAGTATATTTTATTATGTCCTATTTTTCTATAAATAGCTATTTTACATTTCTTTAAATTGTTTGATGTAGAAATAATGAATAAACATACCTTTAATTATTGTACCATTGTTGCTGAACTGCTAGATGTTTCACAAAAGTCAAATTTTAAAAAAGATATTTGTATGAAACAACAAAAAGCAAACAGTCCATTTCAAAATAGACAAAGGCTTGAATGGACTTTTCTGCAAAGAAGATATACAAATGGCCAATAAGCACAGTCATTATGGAAATGCAAATCAAAACTACAATTAACTACTTCACACTCATTAAGATGGTTATTATCAAGTAAGTAGAAAATAACTATTGGCAAAGATGTGGAGAAATTTGAACCCTGGTACATTTTTCATGAGAATGTAAAATGGTACAGTCATTTTTGGAAACAGAATGGTGACTCATCAAAGAAGTTAAACATAGAATTACCATATGATTCATCATTCCACTTCTAGGTGTATATACTGAGAAGAATTGAAAGCAGAGACTCAAGGAGTTACTTGCATACAAGTGTTCATAGCAGCATTATTCACAGTAGCCAAAAGGTGGAAATAAACCAAATGTCCATCAATGAATGACTGACTAGATAAACAAAATAAGGTATATACATGATGTACAATAGAATATCATTCAGCCTTAAAAATGAATGGAATTTCAGGGGCACCTGGGTGGCTCAGTCTGTTAAGTGACTGTCTTGAGTCACTGTTAAGTGACTGTTAAGACAGTTAAGACTGTTAAGTGACTGTCATGATTTCAGGGTCCTGGGTTTGAGCCCCATGTTAGGCTCCCTGCTCAGCGGGGAGTCTGCTTCTTCTCCCTCTGTTGCTCCCCCTGTTTGGACTTTCTCTCTCAGATGAATAAATAAAATCTTAAAAAAAAAAAATGAGTGAAATTCTGATAGATGCCACAAGATGTATGAACCTTGAAAACATTGTACTAAGTGAAATAAACCAAATACAAAAGGAAAAATATTTTTTAATTCCACTTAGATATCTAGACTAGGCAAATTCATAGAGACAGAAAGTAGACAAAAATGATCAGGAACTTGGAACAGTGGGGAGTGAGTTGTTACCGTTTGGTGGATTCAGAGTTTCTGCTTGGGATGATGAAAAAGTTCTGGAAATGGGCAGTAGCAGTGGTTGTACAATATTGTGGGTGTATCTAACAACACTGAATTATGTGCTTAAAATGATTAAAAAGGTAAAATTTATGTTATGTGTGTTTTACCACAGTAAAAAGAAGACATTGTATCTAGATTACTACAAAATTAGAATAAGCATCTTTAAAAGCATCAAGTCCAGGAAATTTAAGAGGCTATGTGATTATTTGAGAAGGTAAAAATAGTTGAATCATCTTGGTCTATGGTATGACTAGATTGCTGGTTTTATTGGTTTCTTATTAACTTTAATTAGAGCACCAGAAATATTGATGATGGGCATGAGAGATAAAGAGATAGGAAGAGGCATGCACACACACACACACACACACACACACACACATGCATGCATGCACACACAGTTTGTAGATTTCATAGTGGGTTACTTAAAGTAGAATTAACACGTTAATAGAAAATAATCAACATGGTGATGGTCAGGCAGAAATGCATTAATAAGGGGTCAGTTTGGGACAAAGAATTAATGAGCTATGATTTTTCTCCTTGAGGAATTACAGTCTAGAGTAGGAAACACAAAGACAGTATTATTAATGTGTACTAAGTATGGTGATAAAATTTGCATAAAAGGGATTATAGCAGACAGTGGGTTAAGGGTAAAAAGGAAGTAATTAGGAAAGGCTTTCTAGAGGAGAAAATACCTGAGGTAAGTTTTGAAATATAAAAAGTTATCCAGATGAAGTAGAAAAGGTGAAAAGTCAAGTCTTAAAAGCATGATTTTCTTTCCTTTTTTTTTTTTTTTTAAAGATTTTATTTATTCACTAGACAGGGAGAGTGAGTGAGAAAGAGAGAGAGAGAGAGCACAAGCAGGAGCCTGGGGGTTGGGGGGTGAGGGGAGAGGCAGAGGGAGCAGCACACTCCTCGCTGAGCAGGGAGCCCAATATGGGGCTCGATCCAGGGATTCTGAGCTCATGACCTGAACCAAAGGCAGACACTTAACCTACTGATGCACCCAGGCATCCTGAAGGCATGACTTTCTTTTCTTTTCTTTCTTTTTTTTTTTTTTTTCCAAGATTTTGTTTATTTATTTGACAAAGAGAGAGATCACAAGTAGGCAGAGGCAGGCAGAGAGAGAGTGGGAAGCAGGATCCCTGCTGAGCAGAGACCCCCGATGTGGGGCTTAATCCCAGGACCCTGAGATCATGACCTGAGCCAAAAGCAGAGGCTTAAACCACTGAGCCACCCATGCACCCCATGATTTTCATTATAACAGTATGATATGTGCAAGGAAACTAAAGCTATTTAGTACTATTTATTGGTAAAGTGCAAGTTCAGAGTAAGTAAGCTTGGAGTAAATAATCAGCTTCTGGTAATTAAATATAACATTAGACATCAATGAAAGGGATAAAGTGATTATGATTTTTAGTATTAAGAATATTGAAGGGAATATCAAGCATTTTAGAGAAATGAAATCTTAAGGTGCTCTGTGCAAATTTCGAGCCATAGTTGTTTCAATATCTCTGTTACTTTGTGTATTCTTATCTTGGCTTTACTTTCCATTATGTGGAATTGCCAGACATTATTTGCTGTTGCAAACTTAGAAACAAAAGCTGTCTAATTTTGTTAATCACTTATACTCTAATCATCAAGAGCAATTTAAATCTATCTAGGTGCTGTCGATACTATTTTAGTAAGATTATTACTGTATATAATGCTTTTAGTTATGCTTCAGTATAGTGGCCTCAGTTTCTTTGCAGTTCCATTGAATAATGATGGTCTAAAATTACAGCCTTAATTTATAGTTAATTGTAGCTTTATTCCTTTTCAGCTTAGTGAATAATATTCTTTTCTTCTTCCTACTTAAAAAGAATTAAAATAATATTATCTGGAAAAATTACTCTTGTCATTTACTTTCTATGTTATAATAACGTAGAGTAAGATAGAGAGTCAGCAACCAAGGCTGGTAATTACCACAAAGTGTTTTATAACTTTGCCTCATTTCATAGTTCATCATTATTTATTATTATCATTGTTAAACGTTGCTTGAGTTCCTGCTGTATATTACATGATAGGATATTTGCCCTCTAAGAGTTCATATTATTGTTGAAAGTAAAAATTGAGAAGTCTTTTCACAGATTTGAACAAAGGATTTCAGATTAAAAGATGGATATTCGACCTGCTGAACTATCTGAATAGCTCTAACACTCCTGTAGACTTGTCACCTACCTGTTCAGAGCAGTTTCACCCTTTGATTTCTATAGCAAGTGGCAGGTTTGGGTATGCTGCTCACTTCCTTGGTTCCTGTAGGTGTCCAGTTCTTAAAAAGTAAATGCCTGTGATGACGCCACCCCCACCCCTGACCGGGACTTGATTGGAGTAGTTTTCTAAAAATTTGTTTAAATTGATATACCAGGGGCCCCTGGATGGCTCAGTTGGTTAAGCAACTGCCTTCAGCTCAGGTCATGATCCTGGAGTCCTGGGATCGAGCCCCACATCGGGCTTCCTACTCAGCTGGGAGTCCACTTCTCCCTCTGACCCTCTCCCATCTCATGCTCTCTCTCTGTCTCATTCTCTCTCTCTCTCAAATAAATAAATAAAATCTTAAAAAAAAAAAATTGATGTACCAGGGCACCTGGCTGGCTCAGTTGGTAGAGCATATGACTCTTGGTTTCAAGGCTAGGAGTTCGAGCCCTAAAAGTTTACTTAAAAAAAAAATTGAAATACCAAAAACCTGCTAGTCTGATGACTAAGTTAAGAGTCATTCTTGTTTTCTACCCTCTCACAACCCATATTCAGTCCACTAGTAAATCCCCTTGACTCAACCTTTGGAATACATACTAATTCTGGATCACATCTTACCATTTCCAAGGCTACAACCCTAACCATTACATCTATCATTTTAGCCTGGACTACTATAATAGCCCCTAACTTGTTTCTCTGCCTTCTTTTTACCCTCCTACACTTAGTCTTTTCTTGATCCAGTGGGCAGACTGTGATCCTTTTAAATTAGAAATCAGATGTTGGAACTCTGTGGCTGAAAATCTTCCAGTGGCTCCATTACATGTAGAATAGAGTCCAGACTCTTTACCATGCCCTATAAGAACTTCTGTGTCCAGGCCTCTATCAGCTTCTTCATCTTCCTCCATTTCCTTTCACTTGCAAAGTTCCACCGACCTTGATCTTCTTTCTGGTTCTAGGTCCAAAAAGCCTTCCTGGGCTTAAATTACTGTTCTACTTGCCCCCATCTTTTAAAAAAATTTTATTTATTTATTTGATAGAAAAATCACAAGTAGGCAGAGAGGCAGGCAGAGAGAGAGGGGGAAGCAGGCTCCCTGCTGAGCAGAGAGCCCGATGTGGGGCTCCATCCCAGGACCCTGAGATCATGACCTGAGCCGAAGGCAGAGGCTTAACCCACTGAGCCACCCAGGTGCCCCTGTTTGGCCCCTTTTAACTACTAACTCTTTTCTTGTTATTTAATTATTAGGAAACCTTGGACGAGTTAATTTTTTGCACTTCAGTTCCTTATAAAATGTGGTTAAATATAACATCAACTTCACACTGTGGTTATTAGAATTAAATAAATTAATAAATGTAAAGTGCCTGGAATATTGCCTGGCACATACTTAGTGTTCACTATGTTACCTACTTTCAACATTGTCAACATCACTTGCATCCCATCATCATCTTTGCATGGATACCTTTTGAATTCAACTACCAAATGTACATATAGGTCTCTCTCAACCAGCTTAACTAAAGAATCCTCCTGGTCATTCTCTATGCAGTCCTGTTCTGTTTGTTTGTTTAACACTTTCTGTACCTGAAATTATTTTCTTTCTTTTTGTTTGTAATTCTCTAACTTCTTCAATTAGAACAAAGTGACTATATTAAATATCTATTTTTTTCAGTGTGAAAGCTCTTTGCCCTTTTAAAGGATACATTACTGATATCTTGCTATTATTGATGGAATGCCATGGACTACATTTTATATTAGTCTGAATATTCTAGCTGATCTATGAAAAAAATCATTTAATACAAAAAGATACTGTCTACCCTTTGTTAATTAAAGCATTGTCCATTGATAGCATACTTGGGAGCTTATTTGAGATATATATTCTTTGGCCTCATCTCAGACTTAGAATTCCCTGTGTGATTTGTATGCACATTATAATGTTTGAGAATCACTACTGGAGATTAAAGGATTATTTAGAAAGTTAAATGGTTGGGGTGCCTGGGTGGCTCAGTGGGTTAAGCCTCTGCCTTTGGCTCAAGTTATGATGTCAGGGTCCTGGGATCGAGGCCCACATGGGGCTCTCTGCTCAGCAGGGAGCCTGCTTCCCCCTCTCTCTCTGCCTGCCTGTCTGCCTACTTGTGATCTCTGTCAAATAAATAAATAAAATCTTTTAAAAAAAAAGTTAAATGGTAACTTCTTTGGATTTTATTTTTTATACTTGATGAAATTTTCCTTATTTGTGTTTTCAAAGGAATAATCACACACTCTTTGGTGTTCTAAATTATACTAAGACTCCTGGAGGAAGTAGAAGACTTCGTTCTAATATATTAGAACCTCTAGTTGATATTGAAACCATTAACATGAGATTAGATTGTGTTCAAGAACTACTTCAAGATGAGGAACTCTTTTTTGGACTTCAGTCAGGTAAATGAATATCACCTAATTTTATGAATACAAATTATTAAAAAATACATTGTCTTTTTATAAGAATACTAGTCATATTGGATTAAGGCTCAGCCTAATAACATTATCTTAACTTGATTACATCTGCGAAGATCTAATTTCCAAAAAAGATCACTTTTAGATACCAGGACTTAGTACTTCAAAATATCTTTTTGGGGGACACAGTTCAACCCCCATAACATCAGGTAAGAGAATCGCCTTTGGCACCTGGCTATTTGTTCACTTGCATGGCAATACAACTCTCTTCTTAAATCTGTAGGTAGAAGGACAGTAGATACGCACTGCTCCTAGTTCAATTCCTGGTTCCTAGCAGTTTGATCTATCTTTCATACCTCTACTCTCCCAACCATTCCACCTGGTGTTCTAGTACATGAAAATCTAGGAGGCACTGAGCAAGCTACAAAGAAGCCATTTTTTAAAAAAGTTTATTTTCTAGTAATCTCTACACTGAGCATGGGGCTCAAACTCACAACCCTGAAATCAAGAGTTGCATGCACCTCTGGAGGACTAAGCCAGCCAGGCACCCCACAAAGAAGACATTTTTAACTGTATTCCTTTTCTTGTTCATAGCAACATCTTTTTGGCTGACCTATACCTGGCATTCCATGTAATACATAAGTGCCTAAAATATGAAGTTATTTAATTATGTAATATCAGTCAAACTCCAACAATAATCAGCTTTTTAAACTTTCTGCAACCAAATATGCAGTTGCCCTTCTCCTGCCTGTAGTTAATTGCTCCACCTATGTTCTGGATACTGTCTTTGTACTCATTTTTCTCCTGTATCTTTAATATTTTTCCTCTCTTCCTCCTGTCTTTCCTATCTTTGTAAAACAAACAAACAAACAAACTCACTGGACTTTACCTTCTCCAGCTACCACCTTATTTCTCTGTTCTCCCAATTTATAGGTAAACTTGTTGAAAGACAGATTTTCTGCAGTCACTATCTTCTTTTCACAATATTTCAATGTACTGTTTCTGTGCTCACTGTGTGAGATTCCTCTAGTCAAGGTTACTGTAGCAAATGTTATTGGTTCTTTGTCAAGATCCTCTTGTCTTTTTACCTTTATGTGTCTGTGTGGCTTTTGCTTCTCCTGGCCCACACTTGGGGTCTCTTTGGAATCCTGCCCCCAGACTGTTAGCATTTTGCTTTCAAGAAGCATGCCAAAAGAGTCTTGCAGCCCTTAACTCCAGAATTCTTCTATAGGATCAGTTGAAGTTACCTTCCATAGGACTTTGCCTGAAATTATACTTCTGCCTGACTTTTTTTTTTTCCCTTCCCCATCCTTCTCTCTTCTCCCGTTTTCTCTTGGAAGCATTTAAAAAAAAAATATTTAAATTTTAGTTAACATACAGTGCAATATTGATTTCAGAAGTAGAATTCAGTGATTCATCACTTACATACAATACCCAATACTCATCACAAGTGCCCTCTTTAATACCCATCACCCATCTAGACCATTCCCCGCCCCCCACCTCCCTCTATCAACCTTCAGTTTTTCTCTGTCATTAAGAATCTCTTGGGTGCTTGGGTGGGTCCGTCAGTTAAATGTCTTTCTTGGCTCAGGTCATGATCTCAGGGTCCTGGGATAGGGTCCTGGATCATGCTCCCTGCTCATCACTCCTTGCTTCTCCCTCTCCCTCTGCTGCTCCCACCCCATGCCTGTATGCATGCTCTCTCTCTTTCTCTCTCTCAGATAAATAAATAAATAAAATCTTAAAAAGAATCTCTTAGTATTGGTTTCCCTCTCTCTTTTCTCCCCCCTCCCATATGTTCATCTATTTTGTTTCTTAAATATGGAAACACATTCTTTTTTCCCCCTTTTTTCACTTGAATTTATGACCCTGAGATCAAGACCTGAGCTGAGATTAAGAGTTGGACATTCAACCGACTGAGCCACCCAGATACCCCTGGAAGCACATTCTTGACAAATCACTTGCACATCAATCCTCATGTCAGGATCTCTTTCTGAAGAACTTAGCCTAAGACAGTCACCTAAATATTCATTGTTAAATTTAATGGACACATATTAGTTCTCTTATTTGAGCTCCAACTTACATGATACTGTTAAATATCTCTCTTTATTGAATTACTGCCTTTTTTTGTTTTTGCAATTATACAGTCTCCTGATTTTCTTCCTAATTCTTTGGAGTTTCCTTCTTTTTTAGCTCTGAAACTCATTAAAAAAAAAAAAGTTTACATGACAGGAAACAACAAATATTAGCGAGGATGTGGAGAAAGGGGATCCATCTTACACTCTTAGTGAGAATGCAAGCTGGTACAGCCACTCTGGGAAAACAGTGTGGAGGTTCCTCAAGATGTTAACAATAGAGCTACCATATGACCCAACAATTGGATTACTAGGTATTTACCCCAAAGATACAGATGTAGTGAAAAGAAGGGGCACATGCACCTCAAAGTTCACAGCAGCAGTGTCCACAATAGCCTAACTGTGGAAGGAGCCGAGATGTCCTTCAACAGATGAATGAATAAAGATGTGGTTCATATATACGATAGAACATTATTAAGCCATCAGAAAGGATGAATACTTACCATTTATGTTGACATGGATGGAACTGGAGGATATTATCTCTAAGCAGAGAAAGACAATTATCATATGGTTTTACTTATGTGGAACATAAGGAATAGCACAGAGGACCATAGGGAAAGGGAGGGAAAACTGAAAGGGAAGAAATCAGAGAGGGAGACAAACCATGAGAAACTCTGGACTCTGGGAAACAAACTGAGGATTACAGAAGGGAGGGGGGTTGGAGGAATAGGGTAACAGGGTGATGGGTATTAAAGAAGGCACGTGTTGTGATGAGCAGTGGGTGTTCTATACAGCTAACAAACTGTTGAACATTACATCAAAAACTAATAAGGTGGGGCGCCTGGGTGGCTCAGTGGGTCGAGGCCTCTGCTTTCGGCTCAGGTCATGATCCCAGAGTCCTGGGATCGAGCTCCGCATCGGGCTCTCTGCTCAGCAGGGAGCCTGCTTCCCCCTCTCTCTGCCTGCCTCTCTGCCTGCTTGTGATCTCTCTCTGTCAAATAAATAAATAAAATCTTAAAAAAAAAAAAAAACTAACGAGGTACTATATGTTGGCTAATTGAACATAATAAAAAATTTATGTTACTATCCAGTCAGAACCAACTGGTTATCTCCCTCAAACTGTTATCTATAGGGATTTCCAAATAGACCTCAGGACTGTATACTTATTGTCTTGGAACTTCCTCAAAAAGCTCTGTCATTGATCAGGTAACAGAGTAAAAACATTGGAGTCCTTTCTTTCAAATGGAAAAGGGAAAGACTTATGAGACTTTTCTTTTCCCCCTGCATCTTCTTTATAGATTTCTATTCCTTTGCTTATTCCCTAAATGCTAAGCCTCTTCAAAGATTCGTCTTAGGTTGTTTTTTTACCCTGTCTATTCAAATATGACTTACCTTCCTGGCTTTATAATTATCACTCACATATTCATGACTTCCTAATCTGTATCTCATACCCACGTATCTCTACAGACCTTTAGCCCCATCTGTCTTATTGCCTACTGAGCACTTGTTAGATGTTCCTCTATCATTTTAAATTCAGTGTACCCAAACTGTACTATCTTCCCTTCTGAGTCAGTCTTTCTGATTTCAGTGAAGAGCTCTACATCCAGCCTCTTTATCAAGCCACATACCTGGAAGTCATTCTTTTTTTTTTTTTTTAATTTTTAAAAAAGGTTTTATTTATTTGACAGAGATAGCACAAGCAGGGGGAGTGGCAGGTGGAAGGAAAGGGAGAATCAGGCTCCCAGATGAGCAGGGAGCCCAACTTAGGGTTCAATTCTAGGACCCTGAGATCATGACCTGAGCCAAAGGCAGGCACTAAACCAACTGAGCTACCCACAAACCTCCCCTGGAAGTCATTCTTAACACTTCTCTTCCCTGAAATCAGTCATCAAATTCTGCAAAGTTCTTTCTGTATATCTCTTTTTTCCTCCATTTTATTTTATTTCTTTTCAGTGTTCCAGCATCTATTATTTATGCACCACACCCAGTGCTCCATGCAATACTTGCCCTCTTTAATACCCACCACCAGGCTCACCCAACCCCCCACCCCTCTCCCCTCCAAAATCCTCAGTTTTTTCCTCAGAGTCCACAGTCTCTCATGGTTTGTCTCCCCCTCCAATTTCCTCCAACTCACTTCTCCGTTCCATCTCCCAATGTCCTCCATGTTATTCCTTCTGCTCCACAAGTAAGTGAGACCATATGTATATGTCTTTGAATGCATTGCTTTTATCCCCAGTGCTGCTGGGCTGGGAAAAATTTATCTATATTTTGAATTATTGCAACAACTTCCTATTTGATCTCCCTCCTCCAATCTTTCTTTTTATGGTGTCTTCTCTATACTGGAGCCTGAATGATCTTTTGAAAATATAATTCTGAGAATATCATTCTGTATTTCTTATTGTTAATATAACAAATTACCACAAATTTAGTGGTTTAAAACACCATGAATTTATTATCTTAGGTTCTGGAAGTCAGAAATCAGTTTTATTGGGAAAAATCAGTATGTTAGCAGTCCACATTCCTTCTGGAGGCTCTATGGACAAATCTATTTCTTGCCTTTTCCAGTTTCTAGAGTCTGTGCAGATCAGTAGATGGCTCATGGGTCTTTCTCCATCTTCATAGCCAGCAGCATAGTATCTTTTCTACTTTCTGACCTCTGCTTTTGTCCTTGTATCCTCTCTTTTGTCACTGATCCTCCTACAACCCTCTTCAAAGGACTCTTGTGATTACTTAGGGAACCAACAAATAATCCAGAATAATCTCTCCATTTCAAGATGCTTAACTTAATTCTATCTTCAAAGTTTCTTTTATCAGGTAACATATTTGCACATTCCAGGAATTAGGACGTAGATATCTTTGGGGGCTACGACATACACACTTGCATAAAATTCTTCAATCTCTTCTCATTACTTTTAGGATAAAATCCAGACTCTTCTATATGACTCTTTCCTTGTCATCTCCCACAGCATGTCTTGCTACTCCTCACTTTCCATTCTGCCTTTTAATAGAATTAAACTTCTTTCAGTTACTTGAGCAGATTCTCTCATGTTTTTTAGTCTTTGTAGTCTGTACATTTGCCTAGACTCTTTCTTCTTCCTTCCCTGTGACACCTCCTCCCAGGCACTCCTTAACTAACGACAGTTCATCCTTTACCATTCCAGCTTAGATGTCACTCATGTGAGAAGCCTCTCTGACTCCCCAGGTTTGTGTTAGGTATCTTTTCTACATGTTTCCCATAGTGCCTTGTTATGCCACTTATCTTACTGGATTGTAAGTGAATGCTTTGTTGGAGGATTCCTGTACAAGGCTAGGATATAACGAGTATTCATATTTGTTAAACTATTGATTTGTTGTTGAACCTCTTGAAAATTGTATTTTATTGTTCCCAGGGTTATGTTTTATAGGGTGTGATATTAATGAAAAACTTGAATTTTCTTTGAAACTTTAAATTTTGATATATTTTATAATTCTCTTAGCTGACAGTTTTAAATTTGCATCTACAAATGTTAAACACTTCTATGTTTTCTATATCTTGACAGTTTATAATTTATCTCAACATGTAATGAAGTAGGGGAGCAGGAACAGAGCAAGGTGGGAGCATAATTTTTATAGCTTATTAAAATAGGAGAATCCGAATCTCATTAAAACAACGACCTAGGGGCACCTGGGTGGGTCAGTCAGTTTAAGCGTCTGACTCTTAGTTTTGGCTCAGGTCATGATCTCATGGGTTGTGAGATGGAGCCCCATATTGGGCTTGATGCTCAGCGGGGAGTCTGCTTCTCTCTCTCTCACCCTCTCCCTCTGCCTTTTCCCCTGCTTCTATGCATTCTGTCTCTTTGGAATAAATAAATCTTTAACAACAATAACAACAAAAAACCTCAGCAACCTAGTACTGACTTTATTGTAGGCATTCTATAGGTATTAGTGACAAAAAGATGAGGGAGATTAAGCTATAAGCTTCTGTCCTCAAGGATCTTACACTCATGTTAGAGAACAGAATTCTAAATAAATAATTATGATACAGTGCTATCAATGCAATAATAATTGAGTATTTTCTGGGAACACAAAGAAGTGAACTGGGAAAAAAGCGGAATACAGGATCCATAAATAATATTTCAGGTTTTTTTAGCATTTATTTATTATTTATGTAATCTCTATACTCAATGTGGGGCTTGAACTTGTGACCCCAAGATCAAAGAGTCACGTGCTCTCCCGACTGAGCCAGCTGTGCGCCCTGATAATATTTCAGTTCTATAATAGGGAATGGGTAGGATTTTGACAATAGGAGAATCCTAGAAATGATATTCAAAACAAAGGGAACCTGCCTGTGCAAGGTATGCTGATGCATATAGGACAACAACAATGTTTTTTTGGATGTAGTGGCTGGGATAAATATCTGATATGGTGCCATTGGCTGTGATCTTGAGCAGTCATTACTTTCTAGGGAACATTTTTTTTTCTGGGAAGGTGGGGAAGATAGACTTAACATAAGCTTCTGCCATTGTATTTAATATTGATATGAAAGAGCTTGTTGTATTCAAGTCATGGCCAGTAGTTACTTATGACTTGAAGCCTGGCAGAAAATGAGAATTGGGGCTAGCTTGCGAAGGGCTTTTATATAATGGTAAGAAATTTGGGATTTTATCCTGTATGCAATAGGGAGCTGATGATATTAAATCAGGAGAATAATATGATCAGACACTTATTTTAGAAACATTATTCTGGTTGTTATGATAGACTTAGGGAAGTGAAGAAGAACAGACCAAAAAAGAGAGAGGCCAATCTATATGAGGGCTTAAGAGAGTGTGGTTAGTGGAATCACATGTAAAATATCATAATAGTATTATGTCTTACTGAACAGTATAATATTAGTATACTCAGTCTATTTACTGTGATTTTTTAAACATTCTTTTAACATAGCTAATTACTGTAGAAGCAGCAACTTAGAAAAGGACAGAGTTCTAGAGGTAGGCAAACTGAAAAATACCACAAGATACTGGAAGGAAGAACAGGAAGAAAGTGACATAAAATTTTTGTCTTTTTGGATTTTTTTAAAAGTAGCAGGTTGAAAAACAAAAAACAAAAACAAACAAACAAAAACCAAAAAAAGTAGGAGAGTGGATCCATTTTGTGGAAGTATCAGTTAAGTCTATACAAAAGTTTGAGGTCATACATTTCAGTGATGATAATAGTAATAAGTTATTAAGAGAAAATTAGTATAGCTTACTGTATTTTAAGTATGAGGAAATGAGTTCATCCTTAAAAGTTCTGTTAAATGGCAAGGTTAGAAAAAACTGGAGATATTTAAAAGGGGTAGATTACAGTTATCTATGAATTTGTTTTTATAGAATACTTTAAGCTAGAAAATAAGTTGAGAAGAACAATAGAACAGTTTTGAGCTCTATTGTGTGCCAGGTACTTTACACATATTATCCAACTTATTCCTCACAATAACCCTAGGAGGTAGAGGTTACTATCCACGTTTCAAAAATGAACACAGCCAAAGTTCAGAGAAGATAGGTAAATTCTGGTAGGTTACCTGGTTAGTGGTTGAACTGGGTTTTTAAACTAATCTTAAGTGTCATGAAGAAAAGTTACAAATCAAAAAGGTGGGAAGAAAATTATAATAACATCTAAAGGCCAGAGAAGTATAGTTTTTAGAAGGAAAGGATGATCAACAGTGTCAGATATTTGAAGACAGCTTATAACTAATAAAATTAAGAAAAGACCATTATAATTTATTGTTTTATTCCTGACATATATAAGATAGATAAAGACTATTAAAACAGATAAAAGTTTGTAGGTAGAACTGTTCTGTTTTATTATTTGAAGATAATATTTTACATAGTTTATATTTTGAACTGTAACACAATGTTTAAATGCACGTTTTTTATTTGTTTCAGTTATATCAAGATTTCTTGATACAGAGCAACTTCTTTCTGTTTTAGTCCAAATTCCAAAGCAAGACACAGTAAGTATATATGTATTATATTATTATAATTTATATGACATAATTTGTCTTAATGTGATATAACATTTGGAATATATAAAAATATTTTGGAAGAGTATTTCATTATTAATATCTGGAGCATTTTTATGTCTTTTAAAGGAAACTTTTTTCCCCTGAATTTCCTATTCTTATGTTATAGGAAAAAAAAAAGTTTCCTAGTTGAGGAATTGGCGTATTTTCATTAATCAAATATTTACTTAAAAAGTTTGTAATCTTTTTAAAACTTAGACTATAGTATTTGCTTCATAAATAACTAGATAAAAATTACATTAGATCCAAAGATTATGGGTGCTTCTTAAAAGTGAATATTATGTGAAGTTTGATTAGCCTTCAAATATGGTTAAACTTTAAGATGAAACACTGTCTTTGGATATTTTTCAAAATTAAATAGTGCTTATGGGCACATCCTATGAAGAAAGTGATAGGTGGTTTTTATTCTTCTCTTTAAGGTGAATTGAAAAATATTTACTTTAATGAAATACATGCATATTTTTGCTCATATGCTAAAAAGGAAAAGAGTTTTATACATAAGTAGAGTTTGATTTGAAATTTGGTTACTCTGGAAATCCATTGAAATCTAACTAATCTGTTTCAGAAGTGTTTCCTTATTGTAGAGATAACACTCTTGAGGTTCACTTATAATAAAAACACCATCCAATGGATGGAAAAGCTTTGGCTGTTGGATAGGCACAGAACTAGAAGTTTTCTTAAATAATTGAAATACCTTATATACCTGTAAGAAGTAGCAAAAATGTACATGTAAGAAGTGTATATATATATATGTACATATACATATACATACATACATACATACAATTCAATATATATGTAAGAAGAAGCCAAAAACAACTGATGTCTGGAACAAAATTAGTTATGTTTGTAACATGAGTTTCAAAGTATTCCCTCCTCTTTAACTTCCTACTACAGTTTGTGTGGAACTGGTATTATTTCTACCTTAAAAGTTTGGTAAAATTCACAAATGAAGCCATTACAACTTGAGATTTTCTTTCTAGGAAGGTTTTTGACTATAAATTCAACTTATTAACAGATATGATACTATTCAGATTACCTGCTTCTTGTTGAATGAGCTTTGGTTTGGTAGGTGTCTTTCAAAGAATTTGTCACTTCACCCAACTTATTGAATTTATTGACATTACATTTTTCATAATGACCTCTTTACTATCCTTTTATATTTGTACAGTCTTCAGTGATATACCTCTCTTATTCTTGATGTTGATAATTGAATGTTCTCTCTTTTTTTTCTTAGTCATTCTGGCTAGAGGTTATCAATTTTTTTGGTGTTTTCAAGAGACCAATTTTTGAGGGATGCCTGGGTGGTTCAGTGGGTTAAGCCTCTGCCTTCAGCTTGGGTCATGATCTCAGGGTCCTGGGATCGATCCCCACATCAGGCTCTCTGCTCAGCGGAGGGCCTGCTTCCTCCTCTTCTCTCTCTTTCTGCCTCTCTGCCTACTTGTGATCTCCCTCTCTCTCTGTCAAATAAATAAATAAAGTCTTTAAAAAAGAAAAAAAGAAACCAATTTTTGATTTAATTGATTTTGTCTTTTTTCCCTTTTCTCCATTTCATGGATTTCTGCTTTTATCAGTCTTTTTTTTTTTGAGCGAGTATTTATTTGTTTGCTTGTTTTCTTCCAAGTTTTAATTTCAATTCCATTTGTTAATGTACAGTGTAATATTAGTTTCAGATGTGCAATATAATGATTCAGCACTTCTATTCAACACCTGGTGCTCATCACCAATGCATTCCTTAATCCCCATCACCATTTAACCCATCCCCTATCAACCTCCCCTATAGTAATCCTCAGTTCTCTATAGTTAAGAGTCAGTTTTATGGTTTATTTCTCTCTCTCTTTTTCTTTCTTCTACTTACTCTGTGCTCAATTTTCTCTTCTTTCTCAGGGTTCTGAAGGTAGAAGCTGAGATGGTCAATTCGAGATCTTTTTTCTTTCCTAATATGGTCATTTAGTGTGATAAATTTCCCTCTGAGTAATGCTTTAGCTATATTTCACAATTTTTTTTTTTTTAAGAGAGCCAGGAAGAGAGAGAGGGGGAAGCAGGCTTCCCGCTGAGCAGAGAGCCTGATTCGGGGCTCAATATCAGGACCCTGAGATCATGACCTGAGCTGAAGGCAGAGGCTTAACCCACTGAGCCACCCAGGCACCCCTATATTTCACAATTTTTAAAAAAGATTTTATTTATTTGAGAGGGACTGAGAAAGTGAAAGAGAGCACAAGCAAGGGGAGAGGAAGAAGCAGACTCCCTACTGAGCAGAGAGTCTGATGTGGGGCTCTATCCCAGATCCCTGGGATCATGACCTGAGGCGAAGGCAGATGCTTAACTGACTGAGCCACCCAGGTGCCCCTATATTTCAGTTTTTGATATGTTGTGTTTTTTATTCAAAAAAGTTAAAATACCTTCTAATTTCCTTTTTAATTTCTTCTTTGACATGGGTTATTTAGAAGTGTGTTAGTCTCCAATATTTGGGAATTTTCCAGATGTAATTCTGTTACAGATCTCTAATTTAATTCTATTGTGGTCAAGGATGTATGTCGTCTGATATGGATCCTTTGCAGTCTATTGACTCTTGTTTTTATGGCGCAGAATATGATCCTTCTTGGAAATATTCCATGTATGCTTGACAACAATGTATATTTTACTGTTTTTGGATGGAGTTTTCCATGAATGTCAGTCAGTTCAAGTTGATTGATAATATTCTTTTTTTTTTTTTAAGATTTTATTTATTTATTTGACAGACAGAGATCACAAGTAGGCAGAGAGGCAGGCAGAGAGAGAGAGAGGAGGAGGAAGCAGGCTCCCCGCAGAGCAGAGAGCCCGATGCGGGGCTCGATCCCAGGACTCGGTATCATGACCTGAGCCAAAGGCAGAAGCTTTAACCCACTGAGTCACCCAGGCACCCCTGATTGATAATATTCTTGAGTCCTTTCAGTTCCTTTAAGATTTATTTATTTGTTTAAATTTTTAAAAAGATTTGTTTATTTAGTTTAGAGAGGGAAGTAGAGAAGAGAGTGCATGAGCACAGAGCCCTATGAGGGACTCAATCCCACGACCCCAAGACCATGACCTGAGCTGAAATCAAGAGTTGGTCACTTAACCAACTGAGCCATCCAGGAGCCCCCATCTATTTATTTTAGGGAGAGAGAGCAAGAGAGTATGAATAGGGGGAGGGGCAGAAGGACAGGGAGAGAGATTCTCAAGCAGACTTTCTGCTGAGCTCAGAACCCACTGTGGGGCTCAATTTGATGACCCTGAAATCATGACTTAGAGCCAAAATCAAGTCAGACGTTTAACTGACTGAGCCATCCAGGCTCTTTAAGTCTTCTATATTTTTTTTGTATTTTTTTGTCTATTTGTTCTATTAGTTATTGAAAGAGGGTGCTGACAACTCCAACTATAATTGTGGTTGTGTCTATTTCTCTTAGAAGTTCTTTTTTGTTTTGTTTTGTTTTGTTTTTTTTAGTGGACACTCTGTATGTACTATTAATTTGCTTACATAAAGTTCAAAACCATTTCCTCCTCTGTCATTCATTTTTTTTTTCTTTTTCAAGTTTTTATTTAAATTCCAGTTAGTTAGCTTAGTCATAAGCATCTGCCTTCAGCTCAGGTCGTGATCCCAGGGTCCTGGGATGGAGCCACACATTGGGCTCCCTGCTCAGCAGGGAGCCTGCTTCTCCCTCTCCCACTCCCCCTGCTTGTGTTCCCTCTCTCGCTGTGTCTCTCTGTCAAATTAAAAAAATTACCAAATAAAAAATAAATAAATTCTAGTTAGCATACAGCACAATTTTGTTTCAGGTGTAGAATTTAATGATTCATCATTTACCTACAATACCTAGTGCTTATCACAAGTGCCTTCCCTAATAACCACCACCCATTTAACTCATCCCCCTGCCCACCTCCCCTCCAATAACTCTAAACTTGTTCTCTATAGTTAAGAGTCTGTTTTATGGTTTGCCTCTTTTTTTCCCCCTCTAGGTTCATCTGTTTTGTTACATTTCATGTAAGAGTGAAATCATATGGAATTTGTCTTTCTCTGACTGTTTCACATAGCATAATACTCTCTAGCTCCAACTACATTATTGAAAATGGCAAGATTTCATTCTTTTTTTATGGCTGAGTAATATTATATTTTGTGTGTATATATACACGTATATATACACCAACTCTTCTTTTTCCATTCTTCAGGTGATGGACATTTGGGCTCTTTCCATAATTTGGTATCATTGATAATGCTGCCATAAACATTGGGGTGCATGTACCCCTTTGAATCAGTATCTCCATATACTTTGGGTAAATACCTAGTAGTTTAATTGCTGGGACATAGGATAACTCTATTTTTAACTTTTTGAGGAACCTCCATACTGTTCTCCAGAGTGGCTGCACCAGTTTGTATTCCCACAAATAGTGAAAGAGATTTTCACTTTTTCCATATCCTCAGCAACACTTACTGCTTCTTGTGTGTTAACTTTAGCCATTCTAACTGGTATGAGGTGATACCTCATTTTGTTTTAATTTGTCTTTCTATGATGAAAACTTATCTTGAGAATCTTTCCATGTGTCTTAGCCATTTGTATGTCTTCTTTGGAAGAATGTCTATTCATGTATTCTGCCCATTTCTTTTCTGGATTATTTGGTTTTTGGTTGTTGAGTTTGGTAAGTTCTTTATAGGTTTTGGATACTAACCCTTTATCAGATATGTCATTTGCAAATATCTTCTTCCATTCTGAAGGTTGCCTTTTAGTTTTGTTGATTGTTTCTTTTGCTGTGCAGGGCCTTATCTTGATGAGGTTCCAGTAGTTTATTCCTGCTTTTGTTTCCCTTGCTTCAGGAGATAAGTCTAGCAAGAAGTTGCTACTGTGGAGGTGAAAGAGCTGCTGTCTGTGTTTTCCTCTAGGATTTTGATGGATTCCTGTCTCACATTTAGGTCT